AAAATATTTTAAGTAAATTAAATTTTATTAAGTATATTAATTTTAATATTACCCTTTCTCTTTCTATAAGTAATGTTAGTCTCTTTTTTTAATATATTAAATAATAATTATTTTTAAAAATTTATATTTTTTTAAAAGATAAAATTATTAAGTATATTTGATAAAATATATTAATATATAAAATTTTATTTAAAAATATTTTATAATTTAAAATGAGGGAAAATTCCAACGATAAAGTTTTGAAGAACTAAGAAGATGCCAGATGTGCTCAGAAAAGAAGAAGAGGAAGGAGACGCCACGTGGTGCCCCTACAAATCGGCGTAACCTACGACAAGCAGCATCTGACGATCTGTCCATCTGTGGCACTACGGGCAGTGGCATGAGAAAGGAGAGGCTACCGTTGCCACGTGTACGGACGAAGCCGCATGGCATTCTAAATTTACCACGTGTCTTCTCATGAAGAGATCCTGGCTAATATTTTCCCCAAATCTTCCCAATCACTCAATTATGCCCTCCTGACTCATGAGAATATGGAGATACCGCCACGTGTTCCAGGAGTGGCCAATCAGACGAGAAACGTGGCATTTTAAAAAGAAGGCAACTTTCCGTTGATTTTTGTTTGTACTGTTTCCGACTTCCAACCATTGGGTGCGGTATCCACTAATTTGCTTATGATGTGTTGCCGACGCGGGGTCATAAAATATCTTCTGTCTCTTGACGTTGGTTAGTGATTTATTTATTGTTTTTACTGTGAAGCGCGTGTGTATATATATATATATATATATTACTGAATGTGAAGCATAGATTGAGGATTAGCTGTCAGATCATGAGCAATTCTTAAATAATTTAGGTGCACTACATATTTATTTAATAAAAATATAATATTTTGATAATATTAAATATAAATTAATTTTAATATTAATATTAATATAAAAAATATAAGAAATCAAATAAATATTCAATTATAAAAATAAAATTAATAAAAATGTTACATAAAATTTTATTTAAATTATTTAAAATATTTTAATTAAACAGATTATAAAAGACACAATATACTTGATTTACTTAAATATTTTTTGTCAAGTTATACATGATGGATTAATTACAAGAGTAAGATCATGTTAGAAAATATATTTTAACTAAAAATGAGTTTTTTTAACCTGAATTAAATAGCTTGTAAACCATATTAACTTATCTAATGGGATAAACATGAAAAAATAAAATAAAAAAAATGGAGAATGGGGTAGATTTTGGAATTATGATAAATTGATTGGTGTAACTTGATTAGCTCAGTTCATATATGGTGAGTAGAAGATGGGTTAATATTTTTGGTGTACATAAAATAAATCATAAATGAACTTCATATTAAAATTCATTATCACTTTCATTTAACTATAATTTTTTTATTTTTAATTTATAAAAAATATATTGAAAGAAAATAAAATATTTGGTGGGTTTACCCATGTAACACATCGATCTCCACACATATAAATAGGTTGAATTGAATTCAATCCCTATTTTTACTAAATGTGCCGACACATATAATACACGTTAACCCATATATTCTCAGCTCTATGAGGATGGCTTCAAATATCATGCATATTTTTATGTTGGTAGACGGTAGGTGGCGATGCTGGTGCTTCTGTTTTGTCATAGCACTACTGGTGTTTCTCTTTACCATTATTCGTACTGGCGACAAGTCTACGACTGTATACCATGACGTCTACAGTCTATGTACTCTATACGACGAAATGGTGAACAATTTGACAAAAATAAGATAACAATTTATGTTGTTGTTATATTTTATCGTGTCTTTATATATACCATGCTTGATGTAGATATTTTTATTTACTATTGGGTTATTTTTGTGTAAGCAAGCATAGCATAAAGGGTGATATTTACTTTCATGCCACTTTCAGTGTTTCATTAAGACACAATTCTCTAAAATTTAGTACTATTTCACTTAATTTTAAATTTGATGGATTTAAGATTGATTGAGGATAAATTTTAAAAAGGGAGGCAATGTTCACTTTCGACTTAATATATTAAATCTTGTTTAATACAAAGAGTTTTGAATTCAAGTCGATATAATTAAGCTAAAGATATATAATTCTAATGATAATAAAAAGATCTTTAGAATCAAACATGCAATGAATGAAACATATGCAAACACTGTTATTTTCGCTGATAATAGAGATTATCTTTCTCAAAATATGGAAGATAAATGGTTATATCTCTTCCAATTAAATTGTCATATACACAAAAATTGAGATTTAAACTTCTAACTATTTGCTTAAAATACTTCATTATAAAACTTGTGGCCTACAATTTTGTTTTGTTTTTATCAAAATAATTATCATTTTAAAATTGCAATGAGTATTATTTTTAGTACAATCTCATCCTTTAATAATATCAATAATTATAAGTCTGGCAATCTAAAAACATGCTATCTTTCTTTATTAATTAAGGATAATTTAGTTAAATAATGTCAAAATTCACTATACTATATACTGTTTAATAGCTTTTATAAATTATACACATGCACAACCTTAAGTTAAGAGATATCTATTTTGAAATTTGAAACAAGGTTGGAATACAATTTTCAAATAATTTATTTTCAAAAATCAACTTGCGAAAGATAATATATAAATATAAAAGTAAACCAATCAAAATGTAACTAGATACTTGCGGCAAGCGATCTCTCTCTATTTTTTTTTTTTAATTGGTGAAAAGAAGTTCTAGTTGTGAGTTGAGTCCGTAAAGGTTATTAAATCGGGACATATTTTATATTTAAAGAACACTTAAACAAATAATTAAGAATTGCTCACAAATAAAATTATATTAATATAATAAGGTTGAACTCATGTATTGGTCAAAAGCCAATTTTTATTAAATAAACCAATTTTTATCAGCTGGTCTCTCTTTTTTATGCCAACTTTATCAGGAAAAATATATCTCAAAATCGTTACAATTTTACTCAATGTTAAATTAAGTTCTTATAATTTGTTCCATTTTAATTGAACCTTTGTATTTTGATCAATTGAATTTTTTAATCTTGAAAGGTTAAAATCCTCAAATTTTTCATTCACAAACAAAAATTTAGAACTTTTATATTTTTATTAAATGATTGTATGACCTTAGAATTAATTACATACTAATTTTTATAATTTAAAATTTATACAATTAGGTGACCTTTAAAATATTTTTTATACATATATAATTTTCATAAAATAATTAATAAAAAATTAAAAAGTATATTAAATAAAATTTTATTTTTTTAATTATGGCTAAAAGTATTAAATTATTTTTTTAAACTCCAATACTATTTTTGTTTTGTAAAATTTAATAATTTATTATTAATTTTAACATTGAAGGTTAATATAGATGATAAATTAAATTATAAAAATTTGAGAGAAATCTAATTTAAAATTGAATGAAATTTATAAAACTGAAATAATGAAATGCAAGTAGAAAACAAATTAAAACAACGTAGCCCACGCCTGCCCCTCAATGATTACGCCTGCACATGCACATCCAGAAATAGTAACTCCATACGCGGAGTGGGTCTCCTGCCCAACGCCTGCAAAAGGGCAAATTTCTAAAATAAGCACTACACATTCGTCCGCCACACGCAAAGAAGCTCGTTAGCTTAGTGTGCTGGTTTTCAGTTTGTAAAAAATATATTTGGTAAAAATTTATTTAAAAAAGTCAGTTTAATAAAAGTCAGTTGTTGTAATAAAATTTATATTTGAATATATTTTTTTAAAAGTCAGTTTGATACATTGAAAGTTGTTTGGTTTGTGATAGTGAAATGTGCTTTTGAATGTACAATTACCAAAAAGGACATTGATTTATAATGATTTATAATTTTTATTATACAAATGTAATATATTCAAAATATTTAAAAAATATAATAAAGATTATAAATAACATAAATTTTGATCTATAATGCTAAAAATTTGATCTATAATTATTTGTATTTTTTAATTTGTAATTTTAAAAGATGTAATAAAGATTTGTAATTTTTATTATACATTAATGCTAAAAATTAACATGATTAATTACTCAATTTATAATACTAAAAAAATTGATACCTAATTATTATTATTAAAATAATAATTATATTTTTAATGAATTAACTATTTTTTAAATAAAAAAATAAGAGATTAAACTTAGGGTAGTATGGTCAAATAACATCCTACTTTTTAAATTCACTTTTCAAAAGCTTCAGATAGTTACGTTTCATAAATTCACTTTCAACTACTGTTTGAATTTACTTTCAAGATGTATTTTTCTGCCAAATATTTTATTCAAATAACTTTTAACTTTTTAAAAATAAAATTTTACTTTTTAAACGTGAAACGAAAAAAAAAAACCAAACGCACCCTTACTCATCCTCATGTGCTGCCTGGCAAGGCATCCCAAACGCTCCATTTCACGGCCGTTACCGATCACTTCCTCTTATTTTTGTCCCCTCCCTCCCACTGACCCCCCACTCTTTGCCCATTCCATCACCCACGTGATCATCTCAATTCTCTCCTTTTTCTGTTTTCCCCAACAAAAATATCTCTCAACAATACTCATTCCATCCCTCACACGTGTTCCCCTCTCCTCCCCCCACGTGCACAAGCACCATTAGTGGGTTCAGTGCGATTATATTAATGTGGATAATTCCAGGCCTTCCCCCCGAGCCACGTAACCCCTTGATATTTTCGAGCCAAAGCATGAAAGAGAAGATAGTTTAAGATCTCAGTCCAACTGGACACGTGGCAACTAAATGCTGCTTCCTCCCATCAATGACGGTCCTCCTCGATTCTCTTTCACGGCATTTCAGCAAAATATGAGCGGCCAACACATGTCCACTAGCGAATAACGAGACGCAACGTGTCTCTTTCCTCAGCTGGATCTGCACATCAACCATTCATTGCGCGACACGTGTTGAATCAATGATCATCCGTACCCGACTATTCAACCCCATATATTAAGCATGGCCTTCCCGAGACGCCTGCGTCCACCCAAATGAGTTCGAACCGGCGACTCCGGCCCAATCCTCCCGGCGAGGGATCTGAGTCTGGCGACTCGGACATCCTCAACGAGCGCGTCCTCATTCTCATCTTCGAGTCTATCAAATGGGACCTGCGCACCCTCTGTCTAACTGCATCGTTAAACCAGAAGCTTAGAGCGATGTCCAAGCGACTCCTCTGGCGAGCGATGTGCATGTACCGCGCGCCGCGCATGGTAGCTGCATTGACCAGTGGTGCTCCGAATGGAAGAATTGGAGGTGGGTGGGACGCGCTGGCGAAGCTCATGCTCTATTGCTGCGGCTGCCGGCCCACCGGGCATTTCCAGGTGAGTCAACCGGTGGCGGGTCACTTGGTGAAAGCGTCCAGATTTTCAAAGACATCGGGTCAGAGCTTCTTGACGAAGAAGTGCAGAGGAGACTTGTTATACGTGAGCGATCCGTGTGAGCACCGGATGGGGGACATGGAAGATGATTTAGGAGTATACAGAGGGATATTTCAGAGATTTATGAGATCAAAGACGAGAGCATGCTTGATCCGACGGCAGGTGGGTCTGGAGCAAGTGATTAAGTGTCCGTATTGTGGGGCGCGCGTATGGAGCATGACCAAGGCCGGGCTAGTTCCCAAGAGCGCGGCGAGGAGGCTGGGCTCCCATGATGGAGGGTTGGAGTATTTCGTGTGTGTTAACGGGCACTTGTATGGAGCTTGTTGGCTAGTACCCCTGTCGTCGGACGAGAATGATCTTGACGGAGACGAGGACGACGACGGAGCAAGTGACAACGAGGGTCATGATGGTGTCCGTAGGATTGACCCGAATGATCGGACGGCTACGAATGGAAGTATGAGCTCCATTGGGGAGGACATAGATGGGCCCGCATAGTGGGCGATTCTTCGGCCACAATTGACAAATCATTGACCAGAACCATGGAATCTGACTCGTCTTCGGTAGCGCGGCCCAGTTTTTCACTGAAGACGAATGCTAGTGTCGCTAATTACTCTGCACTGGTGTGCTTGACATGGAATATTTGACGGTATCTTTTTCTTGCCCCAGTTTTTGTAGCGATTAGCGAAAGGCTTCTTGTACATTATTTTGTGACACTTAATGTAAATTCTGTTCCCCGGTGGAGTAGGTGGAGTACATATAGTAGAGGCGGGGCCTAGCTCGATGAGGTGATGATGGAGTGTTGTGCGACAGGCCCATTAGAAATTAGTAGACTATTACTTAGCTTCTTGGTTTAAGTTGATGTATAAGTACTTCATTATTCTGGGCCATGCATTTTACGTAAACAGTGTTTCTTTGGGGAGTTGTGTGTAGTCAGTAGTGTACTGAACTCTAGAATATTGTATTTCCAGGTTTTATTTCCATGTATATTTACAATTTAACGCGATCTTACTGGCCCCTATACTACTATTACGCTATGGTTCGCAATCGGCCGCATTCAAACCTCCCCCGCCAAAGAAGCCCCACGCTCGGCTACTGTGTGCGTGGTGGAATGTGGATCTACACTTCATCCATCCCCGCCTCAATTCCCCTGTAATAAAAGTGTCAAGTAGCAACTTCTAGTTAGATGATCTATCAAGTTTTTTTTTATAACTTAATTGTTTAAATTTTTGATAGTTCACCTTTTAATTGTAGTAATTTTTTATATGCTGATATAATTTAATGTCTATTTGTCTGGTTTTTCTGTGACCTTTTATTTAAAAAAAAAAGTGTCAAGCAGGAAGGAAGCAAATCAATGGATTATTTTATTTTAAAAAAGTATATGAATTATTTGTGTGTTTTTTATTAACTAAATTAAACTAGTAATTATTAATTCACAAAATGATAAACATAGGATGCTTATTCTTTAATAATTTTATAACTATATATAATCATATACTCGCTTTTCAATTGAATAATATATTTATCATATTATATTTTTTGACCAAATTTATCATACTATTTTTAAAAAGTTATTATTTTTATCATTTTTAGTGCAAATAACAAAACGAATATAATAATATTGTATTAAAATCTAATATTTTATTTTTTAAGTTATTATTTCACATTTTCATGGTACAGACTCTCTCTGTTTTTTTTCTTTTTTTGGTGGTTGTGGCCAACACTGTACAGACTGATTATTGGTGGGTTTTTTTACTCCTAAATTCGTCATAGAAATGAAGGTAGTTTGACTCGCGAGTGGGCAAACTAGAAAAAGCGTGGTAGCAAGGACACACGGTTCCGATCCTCTTGCCATAAGCTCAATGGCTCTGTTGTCATGCGCTTCACATTCTGAGAGACTTCACATTTCTCACAGGAGGTTCGTTACCGTAATTTTCGGAGGTGGCGTTGCCGGCTCGGCATTTTCCGTTGTTTTTCTGGTTACCTCCTGTTTGGACATAGCGAAAGCACGATATAAAAGAAAAGAAAAACCGGTTAGTAATGTTTTGCAGGTCCTCTATTCGATAAAGTGCGAATCAACAGATTTGCTTACTATTTATTTTCTCACCTCGTTAACCGATACGGTCCAAAACATGAGATGCGGCATGCAAGTATAAATTTGGATGCAAGTATAAGACTGTAAAACCTACTTTGTTTGTTTAAATTTGGATGCAGATCACTGCAGATCGAGTGCTTCTAAGGAAAGAAAATGGCGACTCTTTCAGACATCGGCCTTTCTGCAGCTATCAATCTCTTGTCGGCATTGGCCTTCTTGGTTGCTTTTGCCATGTTACGATTGCAACCTGTTAACGATCGGGTTTACTTTCCAAAATGGTATCTGAAGGGGATAAGAGGCAGCCCGACCATTAGAAACGTTGTGAACAGATTTGTTAATCTAGACGTCAGGACATACATAAAATTTCTGAGCTGGATGCCCGCAGCATTGAGCATGCCGCAACCAGAACTTATAGATCACGCAGGCCTTGACTCTGCCGTGTATATTCGGATTTATCTTCTTGGGTGAGTCAAGATAATGTTTCTAATTGAAACTATAAACACCTAATTTTCTTGAGATCATACAGCACCATCTACGTACTCTTATCTATTTACTTCATCTTCTAATGCTGAACTTTTCTCTCCCCAACTGAATTACTCATACAGCTTGAAGATATTCGGCCCAGTAACCTTACTCACTTTAGCGGTTTTGGTTCCGGTTAATTGGATGGGGAAAACATTGGAAAGTACTAAAGACTTGAAGTTTAGCAATATCGACAAGATTTCAATATCCAACATTCCACCTGGATCAAACATGTCAGATCTTCTTTCGAGCTTTTGTCTTTCCTTAACCCGTTATTCATCCGAATCACTCTATTTTCAGGAAATTAAATCACACGTGTTGTTATAATTACATTCATTATTCTGAATATTGAACTCTGAATATTTTCTTGCGATACAACAAATAATGAGGTGCAGAGCTTCTTGCTTCGTACTCCATACCTTATCTCATGTTTTGCTGTCTGACTATACTTTATATCACTAAATTTTATGCCATCTTTTAGATTTTGGGTGCATAGTGGCATGTCATATCTCTTCACATTTTGGACGTGCTTTTGTCTGTTCAAAGAATACAAGATTATAACAGACTTGAGATTGAGATTTTTGGCAGCTGAAAATCGTCGTCCAGACCAATTTACTGTAAGTTCCCCCTTTTTTTTTTGGGGGGGGGGGGTTCAATGATACATTATGATCAGTTAGTTGGGATCCTTAATTTAGTATTTACAACAGACTAAATTGTTTTAAATTGTATTTTTAGTGCTTTCTTTGAATACTTTCTATGAGGGTTGATTTATATTTGTAGCTTCCCTTTCTTCAATTTCTTTGTGTACATGCTAACTCTTTACCTGCAAATTTTAGAACTAACCAAAAAGACGCGGCAAACCTTATAGTTTGTGTGCGCTTTCGTGCATTCTATGCATCATGAATGTTACTGGACAATCATTTTGAATGTCTTTGCAGGTCCTAGTGAGGAATGTTCCCCCGGATCCTGACGAGACAATCAGCGAGCATATCGAACATTTCTTTTGCGTTAATCATCCTGATCACTATCTGTTGCATAATGTATGTTACTCGATTTCTTACAGTGCTATAATTTAGTGGCTAAGCTGTAATATATTATATGACGATGCCGTCTGCAGTTGTTTCGACAGATTGGAATACCGATATTTTTATATTGTTCACGCGTGAATTTAAAACTCATACCTTTACACTAAAAAATCTGATGAGTAAGATTACAGGCTGTTATTAAAAAAAAAAGAGGAAGAATTACATCAAGAATCACAAATGAAAATTATTCACAAACCAAATCAATACAAAATGAATTGTTATTAAAATGAAAATATGATTCTTTTTTTTTTCCTCTTAATGAGACTCATTACTAGTTCTTGTTTATAAATAATTTGCTTAAGTGGTCTTTAAATGTGATTCTCAATTAAAAAAAAAATACAGTTACTTATCAAACTTTCCAACTTATCAAACTCCATCTTATTATTTTCACTGGTTTGCTAAAATATTATCATCCTTTCTTCCGAATTTGCAGGTTGTCTATAATGCGAACAAGCTTGCATCAATAGTTGCAGGGAAGAAGAAATTGCAAAATTGGCAAATTTACTACCAAAATAAATTTGAACGAAGTCGTTCACAATCATATAGGCCAACTGCACGGGTATATATCTTTCCCTATATGACGGACTACCATATTGTTATCAAATAGAGCAGACTGAGATTCTTTAATTAGTTTTTTCTTCTCAGGAATGTCTAAGTTAACCATGACTAATGATTTCAATGTTTCGCGATATGAAATCTTATGCAAATAGACAGGCTTTCTAGGTCTCTGTGGAAAGAAAGTCGATGCTATTGATTATTATGCAGCGGAGATTGCCAGGCTGAGTGAAGAAGTAAGTGATGGCTTTTGTTCACTATGATCATGTCAATACCGTCTTTCTTCATTAACTATTGTAAATTCATATTGTATTATTATTTAGTTATTGACTAAAATTGAAAGTGACTATCATCATTATGATCTGCTGGGAGGGATTCTCTGTTGCGCAAAACATTGCAGAGAGAAAGAAACAAATTAGTGGCGTGGGCCATGTCTGAAAGTAGAAAACCCAATCCGAATTATATTGTTGTCTGCACCCTGAACACAATAAGCGATGCTTTGAAAAGTCTCCAAGCGAGAAGCTGAAGTTAAAACCGGGCCATTTTGGTTTCGATGAAAACTTCCTTCTTATGTATTGTGGAAGTCATAGGATGGTCTATATCATTATTGGTCCAGCTTGTTCACTGTACAGAAGTAAATCGAGAACTAAGCTGGATATTATCTTCAAGAACAATTCTGACACATCAAGACAACAATTTAAACATTTGTCTAAAGAAATTGAGGGGACAAACACATTTAAGAAATTTATTCATAGAATGTTCATGATTTGAATTCAAATTCTAAACAACTAAAAAATTAAATAACTAAATAATTATTTATTTTTTTGTAAAAATAATTTGGTAAAAAAACCTAAAGCCTCTTGAATTTGTACACAGGAGGGCAAATCAATTGATTTGAATTGTGATTGTTCAAAATTGACTTATTTCGTGCACGTAAATTCACTTCTCCTCCAAACTTATTTTACAAATTCATTTCATTTCTTAGTGTTTATACACTAGAAGCACTCTTTATTTAGGTAATGTAGGACTTCTTTTAATACATACATACAATTACTACTCTCATGTTGTATTATAGAATTTGTTTGATCATATGGTAATGGTATAAATACTCCTTGGAAATTAATATGTTAATATATCGTCAGATGTATGAAGGTCTATCCGTCCCGCTAATTAAATTGGACATGTTCCAGAAGGAAAACGCCTGCATGGTTGCGGGTCTATCAGGTGAGAACAATCGCAGGAGAAGCAACAACTTAACGTGTTGGTAGTCATTATATATAAATAGTGGAGGGCATATACTCCTCTTTCAGCAAGAGATCATAATATATATCGGGTTATAAGAAATCAAAATACATGTAGTTTGTGAGGATTTTGTTGAGCTTCACCTGTAACATGCGATTGCCTTTGCCAGTATGTTTAACTGCTCATTCCATTCATTGTGATCTTTCGACCGTCTCTTCATAAAAATTTCATCTTATGGAACAGGAAGAGGCAGAAAGAACGAGGGTTTCAAGGGATCCCGAGGCTCTAATTCCTGCAGCATTTGTTTCGTTCAGAAGTCGATGGGGAGCAGCTGTCTGTGCTCAAACTCAACAATCTAGTAATCCGAGTATTTGGCTGACAGAATGGGCTCCTGAGCCTCGGGATGTCTGCTGGGAAAATCTTGCTATTCCATATGTCGAGCTCTCCATTCGAAGATTGCTCATGGCTATTGCTCTATTTTTCCTAATTTTCTTCTTCATGATACCAATAGCATTAGTCCAAAGTCTAGCCAACATTGAGTCAATTCAAAAGGGTTTTCCTTTCTTACGGCCACTGTTGCAAAAGTAAGTTCTTCCCCACTTGCACCTAACAAATCACGCCCTTGATTTCACAAGCGCCAAGGGGGGGGGGGGGGGCGCATCCAAAACTTGCAGGATCAATTAGAGATCATGTTTTGATATTTTCGAAGTGGTTGAGTGCAATGTTTGTGCGTGTGCCTATAATGTGCATGATTATGTGTTTAAAATTCATGTGGTTCATGCATCTAGAATTGTGTGATTCTAATAGGAAATATTAAGTGTAGAATTGTGTAATTCTTATATTTTTTGACTCTTTATATGAAGGGCTCATTCAGTTAATCATTTTATATTTCTGTTGTATCTATTTTCCCTCGAAATAAACAACGGAGTGTGTGCTGTCTTATATCAGTTAGTAATAGCTTTGCCTGTGCCCTGAGAGCTCTTTTACAGGCAATCCGTCAAGTCTTTTATACAGGGATTTCTACCAGGTCTAGCATTAAAGATATTTCTTATTTTGGTCCCAACAATTGTCATGCTTATGTCCAAAATAGAAGGGCATAGATCGTTTTCATCTTTGGAGAGGAGATCAGCTGCGAAATACTACTTTTTCATTCTGGTCAATGTTTTCCTTGGGAGCATTGTAGCAGGAACGGCATTTCAACAACTCGAAGAGTTTGTTAAAGGGGACTCAACAAAGTAAGTCCTTGACTAGAGCCAACACAATTTCTAATCTTCGGTGATGTATGTCAAGTGACAAATATCGATGTAACACGGTGCTGCTATCGCAGGTTCGCAAAAATGGCTGGCGCCACAGTCCCCATGAAAGCCACATTCTACATCACATACATAATGGTCGATGGTTGGTCTGGAGTCGCTGCAGAGATCCTAAGGATAACTCCGTTTGCTATATTCCACTTGAAGAACACGTTCTTGGTGAAGACAGAGGAAGACAGAGTGCAGGCTATGAATCCCGGAAGTTTGAACTTCGCTGTTAATGAACCTCGCCTTCAATTATACTTTATGCTTGGCCATCTCTATTCTCCCGTAACGCCTGCGCTTCTCCCTTTTATTGTCATCTTCTTCGCTTTTGCCTACCTAGTCTTTCGGCACCAGGTGAGTTCATGCAGTTTCTCTCGCAAGACTATACATATTTTTACGGTTACTTACTGCATATTTTTGTTGTCACAAGATCATCAACGTGTATCATCAGAGTTATGAGAGTGCAGCAGCATTTTGGCCAGATGTCCATCGTCGAGTACTAATTGGCTTGTTCATATCTCAAATCCTTTTGATGGGATTGTTGAGCACAAAAGATGCCAAGAAGGCGACGATTGCGCTTGTGGCTCTACCTGTTTTTACAATATGGTTCCATTCGTATTGCAAAGGGCGCTTCGAATCGGCATTCGTGAAATTTTCGTTAGAGGTTGGTGGCGATCATGAATCTGATGTCACAAAATTGTAGTCTTGTATTTCACTTAAATTAATTTGTTACCGCAATACTTTGAGGAATTATATGGGAGTTAATCGTTGATGATGCAAAGAGAAGAGAACGGTGTCTAAAATTGTTAGTGGTGAATATAACAATTGCATGCATATGACTTTGGTCACAGGATGCAATGGTGAAGGATACACTTGAAAAGGCAATTGAACCAACCCTGAACATGAGACTCTATCTTCAGGATGCTTACATACACCCAGATTTCAAGGGAGGTGTTTTGGACAAACCGCAAATTATCGACGAGGAAGAGAACAACCCACTCATCCAAACCAAAAGAGCTCGCCGGAGTAGTAAGCAACAATCTGAGGTCGGAAGTTCCGAGGCTTCGATTACGCCTACGGCGGGCAACATGATTAGATGTACTAGTATCAAAGAATGACTCCGATAGTAGTTAATTACTCATGTTCGGTAGAATTTTAAGAACTACGTAGCATGTCCAGTTCCCTAACATGCGTGTGTTCTTCATTCCGCACCACTAAACGACCATCCCGTCTCCAATTCTAGTTGACTCTTAGACAGAATCTGGACTGAAACCTACCGCGAGAGGGGGTGGGGGGATCAAGAGCCAAACCAGTTCATTCCACAAAAACAAAATGTGTTTTTTTTTTTTTTGGGCCTGACACAAATGTTTTGTATTATAATTGTAGGGAACGAACAAGATTTTATGTATAGTTCTCTTAAATTATGTTTGACATTCTTATTTTTCATATGTTTTATGTAGAGATCCACGTTCTCTTTATTGTAGTCTTTAGTTGTGCAAGCCAGTGATTGCTTTGCAATTGATGAATCGAAAGTTGGGAAACAAAATTTAATACATGTCAAGCAATTCTCTCAGGCATTCAAATTTGTCTTAAAATGGCGGCGTCACTTAAGTCTGCCGGGCAAGTTGGAAAGATATCTTCTTCGCCTCCGTTAAACATCCCCAGTAGCGTTTCTAGCAAGAGAAAACATCCGGACATATGTATATTGTGCAAAATTTAAATCAATCTTTTTAATTAACTAAAGCTAGCAATGGAAATTGCCTTTCGAGCACCCAAATTTTTTTTTTTTTGGGGGTGGGGGAAGACTAATAATTGAAAATCGTTCCTGGCTTCAAGTTGCAACGCTTTGGGGTACTGTGTGAGTAAGGACCAAAAAATAAATTATGTGCATGTTTGTTTTTCAGTTTGATAAAAATTCATTTATTAAAAATTTATTTGATAAAAGTTAATTTAAAAAAATTAATTATTATAATAAAATTTATATTTAAATATATTTTTTCAAAAGTCAATTTGATAAACTGAAAACTATTTAAATTATGATAGTGAAATGTACTTTTAAATGTATAATTATCAAACAAATTAATTTATAATCATTTATCATTTTTATTATATAAATATAATATATTTAAAATAATTAAAAATTATGATAAAAATTTTAAGTAACATAAAATTTAATCTATAATGTTAAAAACTTGATCTTTGTTATTTGTAATTTTAAAAAAGGTGACAAAGATTTATAATTTTTATTATATATTAGTACTAAAAATTAACATGATTAATTATTTAATTTATAATATTAAAAACTTGATATCTACTTATTATATATAAATAATAATTATATTTTTAATGAATTAATTATTTTTTAAATAAAAAATAAAAAATTAAACTTAAGATAACATGATCAAATGAAACCCCACTTTTTAAATTAACTTTTTAAAAGTATTAAAATAAAGCTTTTAATAATGCACATTCAGCTCATCTCAAACAAATTTTTAAAAAGCACATTTAATCTTATTAAATTAGACCCAAACAATTTCACATCCCAAGAGTGAAAGAGTGCTTTTGAGATGTGAAAAGAGTAATACCCAAGCAGTGCCTATAACTAAATCATTTCCAGCCCAAGTGTAGTTAACCTCCGGTCATATTGTTGTGCATGATATGAAGTTTTTCTCTCTACCGGACGATACCCATCCTGACCAGTGTCTTCGTTGGTTCCATCAAAAACTTGAACTGCCATGTATAGCCAAAAATGTCGCATTGGATAACCACATTTTGTTCCTTCCTGCAGAGAAAGGAATATACAATCTTCCTCAGACAGGACATCATGTGATTCGTCAGCATATATGCGCCTCCGATCCATCAAAACCCCTTTCCAATTATCATTTCAGCTGCGGCCCCCATGACACGTTTGCCTCCGATCTCTAAAAGACGAAGAGCCAGGTCTGGTTCATTCAGTTGTCTCAATCCGTTGCTCAGTCTCTTCAACATATCGACATCTACTTCTAGGACCCACAAGGGAGTGCAGCGCACCATCAAGCTCACAAAACCCGACACATATGCATGCCACGTGCCCCAATCACAACGTAGAGATATTTTCCCATCCAGGGCACTTGCAAGAAATTCCAAATGAGACCCAAGAATGGACGGTCTTCGTTTTGATGCTGGTGATGTTGATGAACAGTCAATACCCCAAGCAAATGTCCCACAAAGCACTGCAAGATATGCCAGTGCATAACCTCTAAGCATAGCAACCACAAGTCCAGATTCTCCTCCGCCTTCCTGCTCTGACCCGTTTTCTGATAAAAACCAAGAAGGCAGAGTTTCTTTCATTAAAGATTGAACCAAACCTGATCCACCTGAAATCCAAACCAATGAGGCCCCAAGCAGAGCAGCATGCTTGACACGTGTCATCGATGTGGCAAGAGAAACATGTCCACATCTCATCCCATATTTGGTCTTCTTTAGTTTCTCCGCTTGTCCCTTGGGCAAACCAGTGCTTGCTATATCTCTGACCGAAAGCATCAAAAGAGACACAATTTCTTCTGTCAAGAACATAGCATCTCTAAGAGACCGAAACACTCTTAGGTAGAGAATCCCAGGAGCAACTGGGGACATCCCACCGGAGAAGTGGGAACCAAACCCATGACCGAGAAGGGCCCCTACACCACCATTATTATAAATAGAGGTCGATCCAAGCCCAAGGGTTGATGTGAAGCAACTTTTAAGGAGCTGAACTGCGGCATCCCTGCTGTGGTAGAAGACAGTTCCAGAAGCAGAGAATACAAGGAAGTCGCTCCAACGCTTCACCTTCTGGACCCACAAAGAAGCTACAATGGCCATGCATGGCCAGGGGCAACCAGAAGCAAGAGCATTCATAGCTGGAGCAATCAGGACAAGGTAGCGCTCACTTTTGTCGAGTTTATATGTTATTGTCAAGCTTACAAAAGCTGCCAATGGCAGAGGAAGAGTAGTTGGAGAGTTACCACCTGCTTGCATGAGTTACAATTTAGTGTCAACAGAATAATTTAGTGTCAACATAAAACTAGCAGAGAGTGAAATTGACATAAATGCAACAAAGAAAAAGTTGATCTCTCTAACAAAGGCATATAGGGATTTCTGATACTCCAAAAATCAACAAGATAACCCAAAACTAGAACTAAATTTTACCTACAGGAAGGCTTGGGACATCAACACCTGTAGCCGCTAGAATTTTCTTTATCTGTTGCTCAACCATGGACAAATTTACTGCTGGACTTGGCCAATCACTTCCATTCATATTAGCTGGCTTCCATATGCCCCGTGTTACTTCGGCTGAAAAGTAACTGACAATGGGAGCCAAAGTTGCTGGAAGAAAATCAGCAAGATCTTTAAGGCCTGAGATAAAAAAGCAAACATAAATTAGAAAGCAAAAAACATAAATAAAAACTTGGGAGAAATTAGGCATTAGCATTCCAGTTCAGCAAGATCCTTAAGGCCCGAGATAAAAAAGCAAACATAAATTAGACAGCAAAAAACATAAACATAAACTTGGGAGAAATAGGCATTAGCATTCCAGTTTGCTCATTATCCAAACTTATGCTACCATTTTTGAAACTTCCAGGGAAACATTGTGCCAATTAAAAGTTGATACGAATTGCACCTAAAGGAAAACTTTCAAGGTACATTTGCCATTTAACTCAATCTTTAAATACCCTAATATTTGGCCATCCGTCTCTTGATCAATGTTTTGTGAACGGTGTGAAAATTTTAAAATTGTTGCATTTGGACTAACATTGTAACAACAAAAGGTTCTGGTTAATTATTATTATTTATGAGTGTTTTGGGCTCTGTTTTGCTACTATAGCTGATCATACCTAATGAGATAAGGCTTACCATTATTGTTGTTGGGTGTTTACAAAATTATACTGAACACTATTACAGCTAAATGGATGAATAATTGGGTAGAGATCCCATTACCTATGTTCAAGCCAGCGAATGATTGCCCAACGTACCAAAAAAAGAACTCATTTTGCCATCAACAAAATCAATATAACAACACTAGTCAGATTGATTAATGCTTTTACAAGACTCTCCTCACAACCCAAAATAAACCTCTTCCGAACAGCTGAATGAAGAGGTAATTGCAATTGTCAGAAGAGAAAACACAACTTGAAAATGGAAAATGGAACCAAAAATGCCCCAGTTTCAATGTCAATTCAGTTGGAACATTATAAAGGTCTGAAAAGAATAGTTTCTGATGATTATAAAAGGGTGAATTGGTATTCATACAGACAAAGGAGAATTATCCCAGGAAACAAAGTAAATGAGTAAGAAACAAATTCCACAACTTAAGGAATTGCTAATCCCATGAATATTATACCCTAATCCTAGGGTCAACCAAAATTTCAATGATTATAGTATAATTACAATTAACATATATAAAGGTCCTGTTTCAGTAGATAAGTTATTCAGTCATGTCACATCCAATCTCGTCATCTTTCCCAAAAGTACTTCTGACATCCTCACTCCTTAGGGAACCACATCCCATTCTCATCAGTGTTAATTATCAATTTGGGCTATCCAAAGTGAATTTGACAGTCCAAATTTAATTTAATTTAATTTTCATATTTAAACAATTTTTCATTTCAATAGATGCAAAATCTAATTTAAAATATAGTTTTATAGCTATCACTTCCTTTAAAAAAAAAACATAAACTTATAATTTAAAAATTACAGATTGAAAACTTTAAATTTGGATGGTTCAAGTTTTATCACAGTAATAAGCATGTGGTCATTGCTGCTACAAGACCGAATGAGAACCGCACTCCACAATAAGCGACATACTTAATAATGTAGGTCAAATATATATCTTAAAAAGAAAACTAGTGAAAAAAAATCAGAGGAGAATGACAATTAAGAACCTTGTGAAAACTGAAAAGATTAGTGCAAAATGAAGACCTTCAAGTTGTAAATATAGAAATTTGAGTCGTAAATTTCAAAGCTTCAGGTGTACTACTTCCATCTCAATTTATGAGACACTTTTAGATAAAATTACACATACTAAGAAAGCGTATTGAAATCCACTTTACAGCCTTACTTTTTCAAAACAAAAATATAAACTTTTAAAAATACTCTTCATTTAATATTTCATTCATGAGAAAATATTTAAGAGTGAGAATATATGGGAAGGATAATGTTGGAAAAATATTATTGCTGAAATTTTATTTTCATCAAAGTATCTTATATTTTGGAATGACAAATCTTCTCCAAAATTGTCTTATAAATTGGGATGGAGAGAGTATTAGTTAAAAAAGTAAGAAACATCTTAGAGAAGGGGGAAAACCTGTAGCCAATTCACGAGGGGAGAGTCTTCCATGAGCACAGGCTGTAAGAGCAGCATCAAGCACAAACGGAGTGGCTTCAAGGATATCCCAGGCAGGCACTCTGAGTTTCATCAAAGCATCATCGAATGCAGATCCAGATGAATTGCTGCTTCCAGAAGTTGAAGGTGTCACAGATTGAGTACCTCTATTTATCTTCCTAAACATCATACTTAGTAGCGCTTCAACAATCTGATGAACAGGTCCTCCAGTTGGAAGACCAGTGCGTGTTGAAGCAATACATTCTTTGTGTTGCCGATACCATAAATTTAATTTCGGAAAGGACTCCATAAAAAGGGGTTCTGCAGAGAATGTTATAATTTTTGATAGTCTTTTGCATTTCATTCGATCTCTTGGCGATTTTCCAAAGGATGCTAATAAACAATTCCGAACTGACAAAAGGTACTCAGGACCTAGTTGGGACCCTAATGCTGGGGTTGCTGCGCCTCCCATCACATGTTCAACAGGCGGACGATTAAAACGCCATAACCTGAGCAGAAGAGTGAATGCATTAGAGAACACCGCATGACAAGAGAGCTCTTCTCCAGTAGCAAGCATCCATGAGCCATTCGGAACACATGATCCAAAAACCTCACATATTGGCATTAGTGCACCCGCAAGTAATGGAACCTGCAAGTAGTTGGCAGAATCACAATATATATCAGCAAAAAAGTTGCACACGATAATAGCTAGTTATTTACTACACCAGTGACTTGCCCAACCTCCATTAGTTGCGCAAAAAGATACTACAGTTAGAAGTGGATTAATTGGAAATTCAAATGAAGGGAAAAAACATACAGAAACTTGATTTTGTTTTTTATAATTCTTTTATTTTGTTTTTTTTTTCCTGGAAAGAAGGATAGTCTCCATAAACATATAGAGTGCATACAACCTACCAAGCCATGTAAGGAGAAAATCTGAACAGAGTCCACAGATGAAATTCCAATAAGAAGGACGTTTAAAAATGGAGCTTGACTGATCAAATGGCTTTCAGTCCCAGCGTAATTAGGAGGGGCTGGAGGAGAGAGCAACAGCGTGATAAAAATAATGGTATGCTCCTGCAAATAATGATAATTATTACAAACCTGAATGAAAGAAACAGACAGAAAAACAAGGGAAGGAGCAAGAGGATAGCTGTAAGTTTAACACAAAAAAAAAAAAAAACCTAGCCTTCCCTTTCAAAATTTTCTGAATAAAGCCAAATAAAATTGGTGTCAGGATTACCTGCACATTCCAGCCACGTACTAGAGATGCTCCACAAAGAATGGCAGCAGCAGAAATCCTTTCTTCATCTGAACCATTTCTTGCAATTTCATATATTTTCTCAATCTCTGCTAAGCTTGCATCAAAACCATAAGCTTAAATTCAGTTGCCTAACCAATGGCCAACATACCCGGAAAAAAAAAAAAAAATCTGACATGACTAGATTCAGGAAAAGGAAGGGTGAAACTAAAGACCAGATATAAGGCACAGTTAGACTGACTTTTCCTTTCCTCTCTCTCTCTCTCTCCCCCCCTCCTATCTTCTATTATCTTTTTTACACATCACACACAATTAGATGCAGGGTGAATTCTTTTTAAGAACTTGCTTGAGCTGATATTATCTAGAGATGAAAAGGTTGGACCAGAAAGAATAAAATACAACCAGAAGGGGTGATCCTCATATCTGAACATCCAGAAAAGAAAAGAAGCTATTCATTCTATAAGAACAAATCCAAATACAGTGCAGCCTGAAAAATTCCCTTATATTCTAAGAACAAATCCAAATACCGTGGCATTTTCTTCTTTGGGTTTGTGGATGAAGGCAGCCAGTACAGAAAATATACATGGGGAAGCAACATACCTGGGAGCTGGTGTTGCAACTAAAACATTGACCAATGGAGGAGTTAGCGGTGACCCTTTTAGCAACGATGACCACCCAGGAATCTGGCCAGGAATGCTACGAGGTATATGATTGCTGCGTGCATGGACATAACCAGGCCAAAAATAAGCTGATGTATCAAGTAGATTTCTAGCAATACAAGCCTCAACAATCAGATGCCGTAGATTTCCAGCTGCAGGAAAATCACAATAATGCGATGAACAAGATTAAACTGTATTGGATATATGCCCAAGTGAATTTATAAAAAAAAAAACAATTAAAAGAGTTGTAAAGATACACACAAACACACCAAGGGCCTCATTAATAATTGAGATGCAATAGTCAGACCTAAATTATTAACTGGGGGCTTTGGGGCTTTTAAACCCTTCTTCTCACCAAAAATACACACACACACACACACATGCTAACTTGTAAGAGGGGACAAAATGAAGGAAATTACTCTAAGTTACTAGTTATAATTTCCTTGCAACATTTGTTTATTCAATCCCTTAAATTTTTTTCTTTTAAAAATTTGGGAACCTCAAATAGTTTAATTCCAGCTCCACCCCAAGGAAAAAGATAGATCTCAAACGATAGTGCAAATGTTAACATAATTTCCTTCGATAATTGACTTTAAATTTTAACAGTTTCGCATTACCACATTGAAAGCAATTACTTACAACAATTCATCGGCAAGTCATTTGCGCTCAAACACTCTAAGTATCCACTGCCAACTGCATGTCCTGATACAAACATGATAGCCTTTGCAGCAGCCTGATTTGCTACCTGATTAACAGATTGAGGAGGAGTCAGTAAGCCCTCATATTCACCCAATAGCTGTAAGCAGGTAACCAACTCTCCACGACGCTTTCCCAAAGCTTGTTTTTCTTTTCGTCGATTAGTTGGACTCCGTTCAGCTTCTTCAATTAGTTCACCTTCTTCTTCTTCAATAAGATTAGCGACTACAAGAGTTGTGGTGCACAATAACATACACATGCAGGTATCAAGTCGAGGTACAGGACCTTCACTTGGATCTCTCTCCTAAAGAACAACGGGGAAAAAGATGTCTCAAAACAAGCAAAGGTTGCCTTAAAGCATGCAATTAAGTGTGCATTTTCAACAAAGAACTAAAGAATCAGTCAAATGTAAATCCACCAATGAAGACTAATAGACTGTACATCAAATGTGGTACAGAGAAACAAAGTCTAGTGCCCAATACTGTTGATTTCATCAACAATTACTCAAAAATATGATCTACCCAGAGCATTCCTCATTTCTATTAATCTCTGTAAGTAAATCTAGTCAGGTAATTAGAGGTTTAACTCCTTCCTAACACAATCTGAAACTATCCTAAATCCAGCTATCATTTTATTTTTATTCCCTTCTTAAAAATGTCAATCTTCTGCATCATCTTTCCATATTGATGATAGACTGTCATATCACATCTTTTTTTGGCCCAACCTGAATCATATGACCACATCTTACATGTGCGCATATTCATCAAGTGAGTTTCTCCCATAAACCCCCAACCTCTTCCCATGACAATTGCCTGAAAAATATTAAAAATTACCTTCTTTCGTCACCTGAAATCATAATTCATAATATAAATAGCTAACATCTCCTTTCCACCTCAAAACAATTAGTGACTGCAAATACTTTTAGTCAATTAACTTTGCCTGGATAAGATTTTACCCTTTGAACTAGCCGTAGTGCTGAAACCCACAAACCTAGAAATGTATTGTGCCATGTAGTTCCATTAACTGCTTGTAAAGCCTTCACCAAGCCTGCAATAACAAATTCGACTAAATAATAATTTTTTTTGGATGCTAAATGTCTCATCAATTCTAGCTACACATTGCTGGAAGCATTGTGATGCTAAAATTCACCAAGATGGCCGTACCAGAAATAATTTCAACAGCACTATTTGCTGTAACTTGTCCTACCCCATCCATTGCATCTTCCAAAATAAGATCAATAGGAAGCCACAGTGATGACCAATTATCACCATGAGAATGGCTCGGAGAAGATATTTGCGAACCAGCAGCCATGATAGCGTTAAGCTCCAGCTTTGTTTTGCATTCATGATATAAAACCTTATGAATGTTGGAAGGAAAATGCAAAAGGGTATCTGGACTTAAATGTTTCAGTTCCTTAAAACTGAAGAGTTTGTTGCAAGCATCTGCAGTTGATGAATGAAAGACTCCCAATGCAGTGGCCTATAAAAATCAAAGCTTTTACATGTGAAATAACTTTCATTCCATGAACAAACTAAAGTCTAAATTAGAGATTTACTCAAAGGCATGTTTAGACTATTGTCTGTTATACTTACATTAGCAGTGTTATCATATGTGCATGATAGTTGAACAAGTATTTCTAAATTAAGCACATACATGTTTCGACGAACTAATGAAATGATCCTTGAAGTTATTTTATTCTGCAAAAATTCTCCAATAATCTCAATAGCCATTGCTGTGTTTGCTTTTGGCAGCCCATCCTTCTGATCAGGGTTCTTTCCACTGAAGCAGTCAGGACCATCAATATCCATATTGTGCGACTTGGTTAGCCATGTAGGCTTATTTTCTGGGACATTCTCCAGTAATCCTTCATCATCTAATGATGCCTCAAGCAACTGCCACACAATAGAAAAGATAAATTCAACAAGAATAACTCCAGGTTCACACTCCTTGTGGCCGTACACTTGGGAAAGCTGAAGAACATCATCAATTGATTTCATAATCCTGTGATACCATCAGTATGAACAGTCATTACCAGATTTTAATTATATACAAGAATTCTACTCTCCTACCCCCCCAGAGAGAGAGAGAGAGAGAGAGAACAACCAGAAGACTAAAGCGCACGCACAGAGAGAGAGAGAGAGAGAGACCACTAAACAGCAAGGCCTATTTTTAGGCAGATTCATGTTCCCCAATCCCTAGGTTTTCTTATAGATAAGAGTCTCTTAAGGTCTGTCAATCACTCTGTTTGGTTACTAGCTCCTAGGAATGTTATTCTGTTATTCTCAATAATTTACCATCAAGTGTGCATGAAAAGAAATACCAAATCTCAGAGAAATTGCTCGAGTGTATGCAAGGGACAATGTTTAAATTAAAAAAAGGGTAAAAACTACACTTTCCATAAACTTCACCAGATGTGATTTTTTGTTATATGCTTAAGATAGCACCACCTAACATTAGCTTAATCAATACCAACAATAATGAAAATAAACATATCTCATTCCTAGTAGAAGTCATATGATATCAATTCAGAAATATTGTCTCTTTCCAAGACAGCAGTTGACAGAGGATTTGCTCAAAATAGTAACATATAGCTTCAGATGAACAGCAATCAGATCTATTTAACAGGGTTTTCCAACTCTACAAACAATTAACTGCCTTTGCAGGCTTGCACATAGTTTGGCCAGTTGAAGACACTCATTAAGTGCGTGGGAGAGGGTGTGTGTAAAATACCTTGACTTTCACATTAATGACTTCTGCATTTATTTCAACGTTTAAGTGTCACTAAATGGTGTCTAGTAGTTCCTCTAAACTACCATAATGTACCACTCCTCTTGCTAGATATGTCCTATCTCTATGTATCAGTCTATCTCTACAGATATGTTAAGTTATTCTAACTTATAAATCTGAACTATAAAAAATAATGAAGTAAGAGCCTGAGTTATCATCTGAATATAATATGCTTTACACATTTAAAAAGTAAAATTAGCTGTTAAATGAAGTAATTCCTTGAAGCGTTGAGAAATTGTCTGCAGCAAATTCCTCTCAGCTATCAAATGTCACATCTCTATCTATCTCTATATAATTATGTTACATTATTCTAACTACTGAATCCAGAACTATAAAAATTAATGAAGAGACTGATTTATCATCTGAATTACACTTGACACGTTCAAAAAGTAAAATAAGCTTTTTACTGACATAGAAACATCAAACAATATACAAACATATGGAAGATTTCAATGAGATGCATAGTCCGTCAGTAACCACCTTTTTGAAAGTAAACCAAACTATTATAAGGAGCTTCGTCATATAGATGGCCTAAAGATGTTGGGAAATACATGAGACAAACAGTGTTGCAAAAATTTAAAAAATAAAGTTACTTGTACTTTTTAATCCACAAAGTTTTTTTAAAAGAAAAAAAAATCAGAACTGGTTTCTCTAAATTTTTCTTTACACAAGTCTTTTTGATAAGGTTAAGGCCCCCATCTTGGGCGAAGTTTTTCTTGGACAGAGACAATCAATAAAATTATCACGACGACATATAGAGACTCTAAGGTATCACAACGTTATTTCTCTTCCTGTTTATGCTATGTATTTTCGGAGTTAGAAAATGAGCTGTCTCCTTTCTATTTGCTAAGACGATTTGGTAGTAGGAAGGAGTATAAGATCTTCTAGCTGGATTCTATTCTTCCAACTCTTCCATCTTCGAGGATGACACAAAATGCCAGAAATTTTTCTTAAGCTAGAAATTCTTTTTTCCAGCGAGTTCCAGACTTCTAGTTCAAAGTTTTCCAAAGAGAGAGGTTCCCTAGTGGATTTACAGAGGCAACTGGGAGCTCCCTTAAGTAAACCTGTTTTGACCATATTTTAATCTCTTATCTTCTTTATACTTCCCTTTTAAGTAATAACAAGAGAATCTCTAAATTCTAGGGGTTTTCAAAAGCAACTTAAACAGTTAAAATTTTCTTTCGTAGCAAATCTAGTAAAAAATGAGCCTTACTTTTCGTAGCTTGGACAACTGATATGAGATGAAAGAGAAAAGGCATATCTCTTGAGGAACAGCATATAAAGTTTGTAGGCTGCAGGTTGGAGCAGTCTGTTTGGAACAACCCTGTAGTCAAGAAAAGCAATATATGTCAACTAACCAGTAGGGAAAAAGTAATAAAATCGGTGAAATCAGGGTGTTGTCATGCAACAATTCTGTTTGAGGAACCTGGGATTGTCAGTAAACAAGAAAACTGGTTAGAAAATTATCCCATGCCTTGCAGGATTAGTTAAGATTATCCCATCAGGGCTCCTAATGTCCTACTACAATGGGAAATAAAGCAGAAAGAAGAATATAGATGGAATTACATGACACAGAGGATAATGGGAAACATATTTTTGTTTTTAGAATGTTAGAGAACAAGACAGTATTGAATTGAACAAAAAGGATCTTTTGTTGGCCTAAAAAAGTGGCAATCATCAATACATAAAATATGAAAAATAGCAACAGAAAGTATATCCAAATAATAATCAAACAGAAGTGTGGTACAGCAGCAAATTCCAACCAAGATTATGTAAGAATATGAAGCATAGGCAGAGACATGGGATAAGAGACATCATACAACACATACAAAAATGCAGAAAAATTTAAAATGTGAGGACATGCCAAGGCCTATGCATATAAAATGTCGGCCCAATCATTCCTTGTGAAAACAATATTTATTAATCTTAACAAGAACCATTTGACGAGCACATCAAGCAACCTTTCCCTTCTCAATTTTTATTTTCTATATAAATTTAGACACTCTCCACATCATGATACATTGACCCAATTCAAAATATTGTAGGCTCGTGGCCTTAAAATTTGGATTTATTATTTTTTTTTTACAGCAGAAGTTATAAATTTATTTGCTGAATTCGTATATAAGGCTTCTTTGGGCGATTTTTGTAACTCATGGATGATTTTGACAAGCATGTTGGAGTCATACGGTATGGCTGTAAGAAAACAAAAGAATTAACTTCTCTAATTATCCATTCATCCTTATAATATTTGATTTTGTAATCGTGGGTAGTTCTTGCTTACAACAGTTAAATAATAAGGTTTTAGAAAAAATGTTCACCTAAAAAAACTTTTTAGAAAAACTCTTCATAAATCAAACAATTCATTGTTGCATTTTTAGTTCACGTTACCAGCCAATGTTCATGTGTCAATAAGCATCTTGGATTATTGGGGTTAATTTTCAAAGTTGACATGGCTTTCAGCATCGAGGTAGTCAAAAAGGACCTTTCACTTCTGTAAAATTCATATTCGCTATCTTTTCCAAAATTGAAATTGTATATACTCTGCAAGTCCACCCTCCCTCCCCAGGTTGCGAAACAGGAGTTGAAAACAACAAAATTCAAGCAAAGCCTCAGTTACAAAGGCGCATGCCCAAATAATTCCCTAAACTCGTTAATCCAACACCACACAATCATGCCCACCTCAGCAGAAATGATGACAATAAATAAAAAATGAGAAACTAAAAAACAAATTAAGCGAATAAGAAAACGATACGAGAGATGTCAAAACAGGGACCTGGCAGAAAGAAGTGCGACGACGAACAAAGGAGGGACGATATTGATAGTCGAGGCTTTCTCGAGAAACTTCCACGTGATGGGCACATGATTATCCCAACAGATGTAAGAGACTAAACAGTCGGCGAGCTCGACTGAAGGCAAAGAAACACCGGCGGCGTTAAGGGCGGAGTTGATGTGAATCGCCCAGAGGAGAGGATCAGTGTTCTTCTCCTGAGCCGACTTGGTTTGCTCCAGAACGCCGTCCCAGATGCTCGCCATGCGCCTTCTGTCCCAGACAGAACACGAATTGACCAATTCACTGAGCGACAAGAACACAATCTACGCTATCAAAAAAGTGAAATACTATGGAAACTGTGCGCAACTGTGCATGTACTTTGACTGAAAAGGAAAAGTCATCTTTGGAGGCGCGCGTATATGTTACGAATCCTCTTTGCCTCTCTCTCACTGTCCAGACTTCCAAACCCTTTCCTTTTCGCGTTTCCTCGTTCCCATTAGTTTCCATGTTCAGTCCCTCTTTGAGGACAACGAAACTAATTGCCCAACGGCAAAATCCAAGACATATTCCTATTCCGTTTGAAAATATACACTCCCTCCATTTAAATTTAAAATATAAAATATTTTTTAAAAAATTAAATATTTAAAAATATAAGACATTTTTAATCTTTTAAAAGATAATGATTACTTTTTTTAAAAAGTATTCCTATTAATAATGACTTTATATTTATTGTGGATGTTTAATAGGAATAAATATGAAAATATAATATTAATTTAAAATTAAATAATTATTTAAATGGAGTGAGATTCAATTAAAAATGTCTTATATTTTTTAATCAAGGAAGTGTGTGTGTGTGTGTATATATATATATACTGATTCATGTACCATAAGTCCATAATACTGTTCGTTCCATAACATTCATGACTAATAAATAAAATAAAATTTATAAATAATTTTAGAATAAAATTATAAATTTAATACTATTTTTACCTCAAATTATAAGACACCTATAAAAAGATTTGACTTTCTAAAATACAAAATATTTTAATAAAAATAAAATTTTATTAATGGTATTTTTTTAATATTACCTTCTATTTTTTCTCTTTTTAATATTCTTTTGCAAATAAAACATTAAATAAAAAAATATTTTTAAATGTTTATATTTTTATTTAAAAATGTAAAATTATAAAATGTATTTAATAAATTTCATCAATATGTATAATTTTATCTAAGGCGTGGAGGGAGTATAATATTTTTAGTGCTTGGCCAAAAATTATTTTATGTCGGAATGAATTTGTTTTTTTTTCCAAAAAGGAGGGTTACACCCTATACATTAAAAGTAAATTATAAAGAAGGGGATTCAAATCCCAAGCTATCTGACGAAACTAAACTCCTTAAAAACGTAGGAGCAACCTCAAACAAAGAAGGGATGATTCCTTCCCTAACAAGTCTGTCTACCACTTGGTTTTGCTCCCGCTTGACAAAGAAAATTTTGACTTCCCAACTCCATTGAAGCATATTGGTGATCTCAGCAAGGACATTGCTTCCCTTGGACCTATCCGACGATGTAAGAATTTGGTCAACCAATTCCTTGCAATTTGATTCCAATATTATTTTCTTGAAACCAAAATCCCAAACAAGCCTAAGATTTCTTAGCACAGCCCATTCTTCTGCTTCATAGGCACTGCACTCACCTAGAACATGACAGAAGCCTGCATGTAGGAATGAATTTTAAATATATCAGGAGTCTATACACCAAAGGTTAAATGTACCTTTTTCACAGACATAATACGCTGTAACTCTATTTGCACACACCATTTGGATTTTGGCCCAGCACCAAACAGGGGAACAAATCTTAGTATTTAATATTGTTGAGATATTACTTGATTGATATTTATTTAGCATGGAACATTATACTCTCCTCGTCAAATATAAACATTTTAATATTTAATACTGCTTAGCATTAAAAAATGCACAAAAAACTAGAGGATGGAAGAAAAAGAAAAGCATTGGATCACATATTGAATCTCATTTTCAAGCCACGTTACTCTTTAGATATTAGTTGAGAGTAAAAAATATTAAAAAAAAATTACAATCAAGTTTTAGAGAATAAATTTAAATACAATCAGGTCTTATAAAATAGAGAAATTATTCTACGGTCCTTTAGTCCTTTGGTATGAATAATTTTATAAATAAAATTACGCATTTGTCCTGACTAATTCAAAAGAAAAGAATGAAGAAAAACAAGCCATTTTTGCGTAGTAGAGATAACGAGCTGAGCTCTCACAGTCATCTTCAAAAAAAATGTGCTAGATAGGATTATTTTGTAGCTAAAATGCAAATCCATTGTTATCCTCCCGTCCCATATTATTGCATCTTCGATCTTCTAAGTGTGTTTAACTTTTGCGACTATAATGGTTTGTTGAGGAAGAAAAGCCCAACTTTGACCTTCAATTTTAATGCTAGTGTGACCATACCAAACAAAGGAAATGATGAGATCGACTTGCATGTGTTCTTTGCTAGTCATTTAGTTCAGTCTTTTATTATTTGTTGGTCGAATAAAGCCACGTGAGTTGTCTCTTTCTCTCTCTATGAGTATATTAGTTTGGGTGGTCTATCTTTCCCTCTTTATGTGGTATATTTGTGATAAGCAATCATAAGCCTTACATTTATAATAGTGTATTCAAGATTATAGTGATATTTGGTTGAGTTGATAAATTTGTTATCAAATGGCAAGATGTGTTTTTGATAGCTTAAGCGTAGGTTGTCAGTATGTTATAAGTAGGTGTCAATATGTTCTATGTGATTCAGGTTGAGCTGATAAATCTGTTATAAAAAAGCAAGTTGAGCTAATAAGTCTATTATGAAATGGCAAGATGTATTATTAATAGTCTAAACATAAGTTGTTAATATGTTATAAATAATTGTCAATATATTCTATGTGGTTCAGATTGAACTGATAAACCTGTTATGAAATGGCAAGATATGTTATTAATAGCCTAAGTGTAAATTATCAATATATTATAAGTAACTGTTAACATGTTATGCGGTGTAGATTGAGTTGATAAATCTATTGCTTACTCACTTTTTTAAGGCCACAATTTATTTTTTGATTTGTTTATGCAGGATGACCTCAAAAAGAAGAAAGTTGAATGTATGTGGTGGCTTTTCAATCATTGCAACCATGAAAATGAACCCACCATCATGTCTATGTTATCAAGATCGGACCAAAGCAAAAAGATAAGCTAGAAGTGTTATCTAAGTTGTGCATATCATTTTATGATAGAACTTTTTTTCACTTTATGTACTTACCTTGTTACACAGTATTTTGAAATTTTTTATTTTATCTATTTTGCTTTGTAAATGCTTATATCAAGGATGAATATTGGTTTTAATTTCAACCAAAACGGTCATTACATGTTTCTTACCAATATATAATTGTTGAACAGGACAAGTTTCTCACAATTATTGTCAAAAGGTCTTTACATTATTTATTACATAATATACAATTAATCAATATGTTGTAACAACTTTATTACAGACTAACCATTTACAACTAAGATAAGGAAAAAATTGACAAGGCAAGGGAGAATGACAATGGGGAAAAGGGCATTAATAATTGATATATTTTTAAGTGTAACAAGCTAATGATAAAATGCACAAGTATTGCAAGCCAATCATTTACAATTAGGCTAAAGGAAATAACAACAGGGCAGGGAAAAATGACAACAAAGGGCATTGATAACTGATATAATTTTTAAGTGTAACAAGCTCGATAAAATGCACAAGTTTTGCAAACCAACCATTTACAACTAGGCTAAGGAAAATAACAAGAAGGCAAGGAAAAATGACAATAGGGCAAAGGGTATTGATAACTGATATTTTTTTAAATATAACAAATTACTGATAAAATCCACAAGTATTGCAGATCAACCATTTACAATTGCGCATAAAGGAATAACAATAGGGTAAAGGAGAATGACAATGAGGCAAAGGGCATTAAACATTGATATATTTTTAAGTGTAACAAGCTACTGATAAAATGTACAAATATTACAGACCATCATTTACAATGAGGCAAAGAGGAACAACAATAGGGCAAGGAGGAATAATAATTGGGTGAAAGGCATTCACAACTTATCTAGTTTTTAGTGTAACAAGATACTGATAAAATACAAATGAGTGTTATAGACCAACAATTTACAATTAAGGAAAGGGTGATAACAATAAGGCAAGGAAAAATTACTACTTCATGTTCATTTATTGACAAAAAAAAAAGGGAATAAGGCTTACATCATTATTCATAAGTTCATGTACAAGATATAATATAACTCTAAAGGCATTTTCCATATCATTACATAATATTGACAACCCATTCAAAAAAAAAACATAGGTTGCATGGATATTTACTCTCTCTATTTGAATCTATTAACATTTATACAAAATATCATATGCATTTACAAAAAAATAACAGATACATAAACAATCAAATGCATGTCTCTAACATTAATTAGCACAGATTTAGGTTCTCCAAGTCTTGAAAGTATAACCGACCTCATGACATCTTTTACAATGATCAACCTTCTTGTTTTGAAATTGATATTCATGTCCCAAGCCTTCTAGTATTCGGTGGTTGCAAAAATGTTTGGATTAACATATTTGTGACGATAAATGCACCAAGACGTAGATATCAAGTGTGAATACTAGCCTCATGTATTGTCCACTTTATTCACTTGCTTTCATATCTCATAATTAATGATAATATTCTTCTTAACTCTTCATTTGTTATCCATTCCTTTATTATTCTTGTTATTACACTCCTCCTATATATTTCATAATAGATTTATCAGTTTAACCTGCACTACACATTACATATTAGCAACTACTTATAACATATTGACAACTTATGCTAAGGCTATTAACAACATATCTTACCATTTCATAACAGATTTATTAGCTCAATCTGAACATATAACATATTAACAACTACTTATGACATATTGATAATTTACGTTTAAGCTATTAATAACATATCTTGCCAGTTCATAATAGATTTTTCAACATAGTCTATTTCTTATAACAAATTTATTAGCTTAACTTGAATCACACAGAACATATTGACAACTACGCATAATATATTAACAATTTACGCTTAGGCTACTACCAACAAATCTTGCTATTTGATAACAAATTTATCAACTCAACCAAGTAACACTATAATCTCAAATACACCATTACAAATGCGAGGTCTATAACTGCTCATCACAGATATACCACATAAAGAGAGAAAGAGAAACCATCCAAACTAATATACTCATAAATAGAGAAAGAGACAACTCACGTGGTTTTATTCGACCAACAAATAATAAATGACTGAATTAAATTATTAGTAAAGAACACACGCAAGTTGATCTCATCATTTATCTTGTTCGGTGTGGTCACGATAATATTAAAACTAAAGGTTGAAGCTAGGCTTTTCTTCCTCAACGAACTCCCACAGTCACAAACATCAAACGCACTTAGAAGATCGAAGATGTAGCAATATAGGATGGGAGGATAATAGTGGATCTGCAATTTAGCTATAAAAATGATCCTACCTGGCTCACTTTTTCAAAAATGACTGCGACAGCTCATCTCGTTTCCTCTACTATGCAAAAATGGCTTCTCTTTCATTGTTCTTTCCTTTTAATTCAACAAGGGCAAATGAGTAATTTTACTTATAGAATTATGCACACCAAAGGATCAAGGGACTTCCTAATAATCTCTCTATTTCATTAGACTTAATTGTATTTAAGTTTTTTCTGTGGGACTTGATTGTAATTTTTTCAAAATATTATCCGATGAGTATATAAAATAGCTATGCACCTGTTAAAGAGAAGAAACTTAGAAGGTAGTATTTGATTCCCCTACCTCCCTCAAGATCTAGTTTCCTTGCTCATCATGTGATCATCCTATGATAAATTTGGATGGTTTAGATTTAAAGTATTATTATATATTATTTTATATTTATTAAAAAATTTATTTATAAAAAGTATAAAATATTTTTAATAATTTTTTTATTTTTATCTGATATAGCTTTAATTTAGAAGGTTTAATTTAATATTAAAATTTTTATAATTGTTATATATTAACTATTAAGAAGTACTTGCATAGTCCAAATTTAATCTAATGTTAATCTGGGCTATGTAGAGTACATATAAATAATTAATATACATTAATTATCAAAATTTTAATATTAAATCAAACTCTTCAAATTAAATCTAGATCATATTAAAAATAAAAAATTTATTAAAATTATTTCATAATTTTTATAAATTTTTATTTCAATAAACATAATATATAATAATATTTGAATTTGGACTAAAATTTAGATGATCCAGATCTTCTCATTCCTACGATGAGCAGGAAATTAGTTCTCCCCTCTTAGATTGACTGTTTAATGTCGTTAATTAAACTCCCCATCTCATCTTTTTTTTTTTGTTTTAAACTTCCATTGAAATTACTGTTGAAAATACTGTTCTTTCTACGGTAAAAAAATTATTTAATGTTTTGCTATATATTTTTTAATAATTGTGACACAAAAAACTCACAATTGTGTAGATTATGAAATACTCCACCATCCCAATTTATAAAATACATTTCAGTGAGGTTTGACACTTTATAAAATATAAATACTTTAATAAAATAAAGTTTTATTAATAATAGATTTTTAATTTTACTCTTATGATACTTTCTCTCTCTGTTTAATTTTCTCTTATAAATAGAGCATTAAATTAGTAATATTTTTAAAATTTTATATTTTTATCTTAAAAAATAAAATAGTAAAGTATATTTAATAAACTTTATTGATATATAATATTTTATTTAAAAATATCTTATAAATTGAGACCAGAGAGTATTTAGAAAAATTACAAATCCATCTTTTATTTTATTATTTTTTTAATTGTTTAAAGGTATATTTTTTTTAAAGATAATTCTATTCAAAACATAATTAGATATTAAATATAAACAATAATAAAATTCTAATTTTGGCTCGCCATGTAGTCCAAGATATGCTTGACTCAACCTCCTTTGAATTTATCCTATTATTTTAATTATTTACGTGGTTACTGTAGCATTAACAGTAGTTATACTGTAAAATTACAAATATATCCTTTGCCCTTATTTTACTTCTCTCTCTTTTCATATTCATTTTAACTGAAGCTGAGCTATAACTTAACAGTAGTTACACAATAAAATTACATTTCCATCCCTTTTCCCATCGATCTACATTCCTCCATCCATGTTTTGACTCTATCAGCCATAAAGTTTTAAACAGATGAGGAAATTATGAAAAGTTTTATAAAATTTTATACTGTAAAAATACAAATCTATCCTTTGCCCTTATTATACTTTTCTTTCTCTTTTTTCCTATTCACTTTTGCTGAAGCTGAGCTATAACTTAACAGTGGTTACACAATAAAATTACATTTTCATCCTTTTTCCCATCAATCTACATTTCTCTATCCATGTTTTGACTCTATCAGCCATAAAGTTTTACACAGAGGAGGAAATTATGAATTATAATATTTTTGGTAAAGTTTAACATATTATAAACTCTTCAAATCAGTACAATCTATATTTATATTTAATAATAAAAATTTTATAATTTTATAAATTGATTACTCAGATATAATGACAATCCAAATTTAATATTTATTTTTTAAGAAAATTTGTATAAACTTTTATTCCAATAAACATAATTTTAAAAATAGTTAAAATTAATTTATAATAAATGGCACGGATCATTTCAAAATAAAATTGAAAGTTAGCCCCATTGACTTATGATCACCGAATACAAACTCCACAATTTTTGGGGGGGAAAAAAAAGAAAAAGATGAATATGGGAGATTTTCTAGTTATTCATTTATTTGACGAATAAAAAAGTAGTTTCTCGTAGTTATTACACAAGCATGACGTTGGCAACATGTTATTCACGGTACATGGGTACAAGCAAAGGTCGCTCTCTGTATGACGCAAATAACAAAAAATTGCGAAGACATAAACACTTAAAACCCGAGGATTGGCTAAATATTTGTTCCTTCCCACCTGGCTACAACGTTAAAAAGTCAAAAGAACGAATCATTCTATAAGCAAGCAACACGCTGAACGAATCTTGGAGTTTCAAACCAAAACAAAAAAATAAGATGAGTATGACAACTTCTAGCTTGCTCGTAATCAAAAAAGAAATATTCAATTCTGATAATTTACCTATGTTATGGAAAGTTGTTTCGATTTACAGTAGAGATATATCGTCAACAGACTAGTTGTCGGGCTAATTGTATGCCTCTCTTGAAAGGGATTGCTCGAAGGAAAGAGAGCACGTATAACTGATTCTATAATTACAGTTCAGATCTACAGTAAAAAAATAGAAACAAAATCAGTTTATAAAATATTTTTTAAATTACAATTTTGAACTGTTTATGTCAAATTTTAACCGTTTAAAGTTATTTATTTAGTTATTATTTGATATTATAATAGTAATTTTATAATATATTAAATCTTAGCCATTTGAGGAAGCTAAGTCCTGGATGAATAAAAAATAAGGGGAAGGAAAGAAGATTCACCAGGAATCTAGGAACTCCATCCTGTATTAGCAGTAAGCAGGTCCTTTCACATATAAACTTTTCCATCACAAAATTCCCTTTTCCTTTCTCTACGATTACTCAGCACACCGAAATGATCTCCTGGACAACAACAGCTCATGTGCTCAGGCTCTCATTTCTTTCTACATCGAATCCAAGCACCAACACCTATAGTCTGATTTGGACATGGCAAAGAGCTCATCTGCTGTAGAGTTCTCAAGTTCCTTGGATTTCCAATAATCAGAATTGCCAGTGACGTTACTTGAAGTAAATGTTCCGAGGTTTTCCTCGGTATGAACTTGGCTTCGGATTCTCTTGTACAGCCTCATCACGGAAACACAGTCTTCATAGGGGTCATGTGTGCCTGTCTGGATGTCATAACTGTGAAGCCAAAAACACAATCATATCCTTAAAAGTTATACAGACAGGAGTTGCATTTAATAACAATTGTTGGCAATACCATGCCAAGTAATGCCTTTGAGTTGCACAGAGCAGGAGAGAAGGATAATGTAGATTTAATTAAAAATTTTCAAAATTAGAAGCAAGTTTAAGACGGGGAAAAGAGAAGTGGAGAGGCAGGGAGTTGACTTGCCCTAAATACGTTCGAGTAAGGTACTTGAGCGAATGGCTGACCAAGTTTGTTTTCATCAACGGACGATACTTTGCAGTGTCCCTGCATGGCAAAATATAAGCATAGCACAAATAAAATTCCAGTCTTTAGATCCAATCTCGGATCATAAATTTGCCAGTGAAAGCCAACTCGTAATCAACCCAGTGAAACACAATATAAAAGGAACACAATCAATTAAATGGAACGAACCAGGAAATTATCCATATTCAAAGAAAGCCACAAACTATGAAAACAAAGTTATTCAGTGAAAGCAGCCAAAGAGGGAATTTTGGTGAAAGAAGATCAAATTTTATTAAATAGAGCTGGGACATATATCAGCGTTGAGGCAACAGGCCTGCCTCACTCGGCTCGGTATCTAGTGAAAACTAATTAGATGTACCATCTAATCTAATGACAGAATCCTAAAAGCTAAACCTTATTCAGTCAAATCCCTAAAATAAACAAGGTAACTAGATAATAGAACATATTCACATAATATGCCAAAACATTGAAAGAAAAGTGATAAGCACGTGACTTCCAACAATAAGCATAATCAATGAAATATTAAATGTAGGACCAGGAAAGGAAACGCAGAATTTCAGACCCAAAGGCCTCCGAGGCTAACTCAGATGGCAAGGGTGTGGTTGGATGTGGGTAGAGACCCAAATGCTACCTGAATTAAGTATTCCACAATGCCACCCTATAATAACAGACACGCCAGGTTTTTAGCACAAGATTTAAAAACATTAATTTATAAAAGGACTAGAGGAATGTATTATATGGTGAAGGACAAGACAAAGTTGAAAAATAAATCCAATTTCTCCTTACCAGGTACACCGAATGAGGAATTATTGAGTTAATAAACAAGCAGAGCAAGAACAAACACAGCAAACATAACAGAAGCATTTTCTGACCATCATGAATTGTATATTGCATGTTAGGAACAGCATGGCATAACCAGCCTAAATTTTGCGGTAGACTATACTATAGGCACCCCAAGTGATAAGCCCAAGTTAAGAGATGCTGTATCAAATGACCCAAAATTTAACACAAAATAGAGATTCTCAGTTCTTACATGGCAGAAGGCTTTGCTTCTCAATAAGAAAATAAAATATATTGAGATGGTACAGACAGAGGCAAGGTACTGTAATGAGGAAAAAAGAGACATGGTTTTCGTGAAAATCTTTAAAACTATATAATCAATAATATATAGCTCAAGAATGTCCCCTCTACCTCAACATATGATCAGGATAATTCAATTTTAGGCAGTCCAAATCATGTTCTAGGTCATGCCCCACAAGAAGCTTGGCCTTTCCTCCATCCAATCTAACTTTGCCAATTGATTCTCCATTGTACAGAATTTGCAATACCTTGTCTTGAACTTCCTTAAGTGGCATGGCATCTCTAAGATGCTCTTCTGTCAACCCAGTTATATCATATCTGAAAATTTCAAGCACAGCCAACCCCAACAATAGTACTTTTTATTACTTGTTCACTTTGATAATAATAAGACAAAACACACGGCTCAAAAGTACCTATAGTTAGTAACCGGGATTTGAGGCTGTACATAGGTGTGGAAAATTAAATTCTCATCTTCATCAACCATGCATACTCTAGCACAAAGGTCTAATGATCCATCACTTCCACCACCAACCATTTCACAATCAATGGCAATTGCTCCAGGGCGCCTTCCAGTGTGGTTTTCATGAGGAGAATTTGGACGAAGTATTGGGGATCTTATATAGGCCAATGCCTCTGTTCCCTGCATCATTTCCCAGCAAAATTCAAAACTTCCATAAAAAATCAAATATAGAAGACTAGAAAAACTGATTGAATGCAGTTTCTTCAGTTGACCAGATCAAATATATAGAGGTAAATTATGGCCTACATAAAATATAAAATTAAAAAGGGCATATAACCAACTTACGTAGCCACTAATAAAGTAACCAACTTACCAGAGGAGTTGGTGCAGATAGATAACATGTTTCTTTATGCTCGATAAGAGCTGCGGGGCTATCAAATAATTTTAAGCAAAGTTGACAACCATGTTGAGAGAAAAAATTGGAACAATTTCCTTTCGGCAATGGACCTAATAAATGGAGCCAAGGTCATAAGTGAGCATAAAAAGATGATTGCTGAGTTAATCCAAGCAATATTACCAACATCAGATTGAATATGGAATGATAACCCACCAGTAAGGTGTTCCCTCAGAGATTCAAAAGATTTGCAGTGCTTTTGACAGACCCCACATTTAGGCTGATGGACTGAGTGGTATGAGATCTTCATGTGCTCAATAAGATGTTCCTTTTTCTTGTATTGCCTATAGCATGCTGAGCACTTGTGCCTGTAAAGAGTCAACTACCAGGTATTAAAGCACTAGAAACTCTAAGATATGGCTTAGGTGAGAAGTCCTAAAGAGCACACGCCTTAAGCAACCAAGATGTTAAAGTAAGAAAAAATATACTATATAGGGTTAATGAGCGAATAAGACCCTGAACTCTTGCTCGAAAATTGCCCTGAACCCTGAACTCTTAAAATATGTAAAATAAATCCTAAACTTTTAAATTCATAACAAAATAAACGCTGACCGCTAACTTTTTTAATACCGTTACTGTCCACGTGGGTACTAAAACAGTCAGGGTTAAATTCGTAGGAAAAAAAACCCTAAATAGTGCCTACGTGAACAATACCGGTGTTAAAAAGTTAGCGGTCAGTGTTTATTCTGCTACGAATTTAAAAGTTCAAGGTTTATTTTACATATTTTAATAGTTCAGGATTCAGGATAATTTTCAAGCAATAGTTCAAAGACCTATTTGCTCATTAACCCTACATAAACCAGAAAAAATAAAGTAATTGGGAATAATATATAACATAAATTCTGAAAAAAAAATTGACATAAGAGCCAAAAATAGATAAACATTGTGGTCATGACAGTCTAGGCCATTAACCAAATAACAAAACATCGAATGCACTGCTCAAGCAAAGAGGAAAACAAATGCATATTATTTAAAAAAAAAAAACTCCGACGAGGTGAGGCTGCAAGTATTGTTGGGCTACATGGTAAAATGTCTATTACGACGACCACAACAAAAGTCTTTTTCCCAACAAGTAGGGTTCATTACATGGATTGCATGAAGCCATGGTCCAACTCTTCTACTACATTGAGTCTATTTTTATAACCGTCCCTTATAAGTTTATTGGTTTGAGTGACAAAAGATAAAATATTAACAAGATTTCATTTTTATGACTTTCCCTTATTTCCAATACAAATCTGAGCAAGAGAAAATCTATTTGCCGTGGAAATTGCTCATCTAATGAACTCAAACAATCCATAAGAGGTCTTTCTGTAGATGTCCATTGTCCATTTAAGAATAAACTCATTTCCCAGCTCAAACAAACTATAATAGCTGGAATTTTCCTACATTACTTGGCTGGCTAGATTGCAACAGAATTTTCAGAAAGCAAACATGATGATCATCCTGGGAAATAAAATGTAAAAAAGGACATAAAATTGACCTTTTGGCTGGCGTTTCAGGAGGGTCTGCTTGAGTGTCCATCCCGTTCAAAGCAAATGCGTGCAAATAACTCCGACCGAAGTAAACAGACTGTCGAGAAAGTGAAGTATTCTCACTAATCGATGGCTGTACTACAAATAACGGAAGAAAAATAAGCTGAAACGGGAGTGAGTAGACAGGAAAACCAACTGCAACTCTGTGAACCTTAACTTGACCTACCTGATGGGTGAGCAGAGCACAATGATGATGATGATGGAAGAAGACGCACCAGGCTGCATGTTTTGGGTCCAACTTCAAAAGTTAAAAATAAGGGTTTTCTAAGAAAAAATTACCCTGAAATTTTAATTTGAGAATCTTTGATAATTATAAAATTTTAATTTTAGATATATTATGATATCATTACAGTAATTATATTGATTATATTAATACTTGCATGTATTATTAAATTAATTTTTTTTAAAACTTAAAAATTAATTAATATAATAATTTAAGAAATCAAATCCATTAAAATTAAATTTAAAGAATAAAATTGATAATTGAAATAAATTTAATAGATAAAAAATTATATTATTTCAAATATTTAAAATAAATCATAAATTAATTAAAAAAATAAATCCACTGTTTGAGAAGCTCATTGTCTCGATGAAAGATGATTATGAATAAAGCCATAAAGGCCACATTTATGGCATTATGTTTCCAATTGTATTTAAAAAAAAAAAAAAGATGATTGTGGGTAGATGATAATTGATGGGGAAGACTTCTATCATTGTTCCTGTTGGCTGTAAAACAGTCACAAATCCACCATTCCACCGAATAATGCCAAACAGCAAACTTTGATAATTCAATGTTGCTAAAATTAGCGTGTCAATAATGTAAGCCATAGAAATGCTGCAAGTTATCTTATTTTTACAATTTTTTACTCATTTTGTTTAAATCGAATTTTATTCCAATAACATAATTACTTATTTTTAAATTAATCACATCTTTCTATATTTACCTCTATATAATAGAGTATTTTAATTTAAAATAAATATAAAATAATTTATTCAATAAGATACTTTAAAGTAATGATTATATTTTAAAAGATTAAAAATATTTTATATTTTTAAATATTCAATCCTTAAGAAAATGTACTTCATTTTTTGACTGAGAGAATAAATCATATTCCATTCATTTTCCTATTATAACTTATAAAACACCTCTAATTATTTTATGGGAACTAAAAAAATATGATTAAATCATTATTTTTATCTGAAAACAAAATAAATTTTTAATATTATTCAATTTTGAACGAGAAATTTTCAGTCTTGCATTATGTTGAGCCCATTCATTTAAAATTTAAAAAAAATTAAGTGACTTTGAGATAACTTAAAGATTTTATAAAAAGAAAATTTATTTTACAGAGATTTTATAAAAAAAAAAAAGACATTCGCCCATTTGTTTTAACTTATTTTATGAAAAATTATTTTTTTTAAAAAAAGCTATTTTGCAAAATTTTATGATGCTTGTTTAAATTTTAGAAAATAATCTGAATTTTTTTAAAAAATACATTTCTCATTATTTTAATAAGTTATTTTGAATAACTTTTAAAAATAATCTCTACAAAATGAGAAATATGTGATGATATTATAAAATTTTAAAATAATTAAATAATAAATTATTTTATAAAATACAAATTAAAGAAGATATCATAAAATTTTAAAATAATTAATTAATAATAATATTTTATGATTGTAATCAAATATAAAATAATGTTTTTTTTATTAAATCTTCACAAAATAAATCACATATTATTTTATGTTTGATTATAATAATAAAAATGATTATTACTTAGTTATTTTTTAATTTCATGATATATTTCTTTAATTTTTTATAAAAATTCATCATTTAATTATTTTAAAATTTTTTGATATCTTCATGTAGCACTTTTTAAAATAGAGAAAATGTGGTGTATGAGAGAGATAAAAGTAACTTCTTAAAATAATTTAAAAACTGCTTTTTTCAAATTTTAATTATTTTTAAAAATTTATACAAATATCATAAAAAATTATAAAATAATTTTTTAAAAAAGTAATATTTTCATAAAATAAGTTGAAACATATGGGCCAATTTTCTTTCATAATTAATGATTTTAAAATGGAACAATATTAAAAAAATATAATACACATTAAAATGCCCTATATTAAGGATCAAAAAATTCTTCTAGAAGTACTTTATAATAGGGATAGGAGTATATAATATACAAAAGCCAACATCTTTAATATTTAATTAATTATTTCTTGTTCTGTATTTCCTTTTCCTTTTCATATTTCTTCAATTTTCCACACTTTTCAACAAAATTAAAATAATAAAAATATTTACAGTTTATAAAAAAAGTAATTTATATTACCATATTCTTTTTTGAATTTATGATAACTTTTGTTTATAACCCAAAAAAAAAAAAATATTCTTAGAACCCACCTCTAAAATGGAACCATTTTTCCTTGTTTTTAATTCTGGTTACTAGTTCCAGTATGTTTCTTCACGATTTGTGCTATTTTGATGTTTTAAATTTAACTTAACACCAACGACTTTCTTGAGTTTTACTACTAAATTGTTTCGGCTGTTGAAAGCCAACATCTTAGCCTTCACTCGAGCATGATCAAAGCCATTAAGCGTATCTTAAAGAGACTTCCTCACCAGCCTCACGACCTCACTCTCAACGACTTAACCAGCCTCCAACTGGACTCTTTCATTTTCCTGTTTTAGTTTAGGCATCTGTAGTTGCTTCTGAGGTTTTAGTTCTCGTATGTCGAAGCAGTTGTTCTTTGAATTTAATAATGTTAAAAAAAAAAATTCCTGACGATTCTCACAAAAGACACTGATGGTGTTGCCTGCCACGCCCCTGTTTTGGTTATGGGTCTGCCATAACTTGTGTGTGTATTTCCTTTAAAAAAGGATAATGCTGCGAATTGAACTGACTTAAACAACATAGAACTCGACAAGCCCCAACGGTGAGTAAAAGCTGAATGTTAAAAATTCTGTTACAGTAAAATTGAACCGTGCTAAAGAGTCGTATGAATATCTCTCCCTCAGCCAAAAGTCCCCTCACTATTGTGGATTATATCCCAATCATGTAGTCATGAAATATTCATTAGAAGACATTGACTAACTGAATCAGCCACCACGAGCTTCTCTCCTTGTGGCATCATGCAAAAGTTCAACGTCCACTCCTTCCGGAGGTAACTGCACATATCTTACCACCGACCCCCTGATGAAGCAGTTCCTTACAGAAAGCTGCGATCAAACATGATGTTATATGTACACCCAACACAGTCGTATGCATGCCAATCAATGGAATCTGATGCGGAAACATGAAATATTTTCTTAGGAGAATGTAGATAAGGACGGAATAGTTCAAGCTTCCAGATCAAACAAATGTAATCAATCATCCAGATCAAATATCAAATCGAATAACCTCACCAATTATTTGCTCCTATTGTGTCCAGTAAAACACATAATTATTGGTAAATCTCTATTAATAATTCAACCAATTTTTTTCTAGCACTCAACACATGATCATTGAGAGACATGATGTGTAAAAAAAGTTCAATCGTAGAGCAGCAAAGATCAGTTTATCAAAATAAAACACAGACACGCTAAATTGAACATAACTTGCATGAACTTTAGTTATATGCGAATAACCACTTTGACATTCAAAACTTAATAATTAATCTCTCTAAACATTTCAACGCGCAAACACAAACTTACTGCCATTAATAGAACCATTATTTCGCTAAAGAAAAATGTTGGACGGTTTATCTACACCAAACCTATAAAGTATAGTTAGGTTGTCTCAACATAGCCCCAAATTGAAGAGGTTAACTGCATAAAAAATAAAGGGCAATAAAATGAATTGTCAATAACATATCCTGTTTCGTAAGTAATGGACTAATTAGGAATCATCTGCACAAATTTTAAAGGTTCATTATCAAGTTTTAACAATCAAGAAAGTTTAAAGGGGTTCTTAGTTTTTCTCTTTTCTGAGTGAAAACATACTACTCTATTTGTTATAACATAAGCATGATACTGTAGTCCTTTAAAGTCTTAAGTTCAACAAGTAATTAAATAGAACAGAAAGGAAGAAAAATGGCTTAGCAAATGAGAAATGCCTCTAGCACCATTGGATTATTCATAATTTAGGACATGTTTGGTGAAAATGTTTTCTATTTTCACTTCCTAAAATCTAAACTTCAAAAATATGTTTGGTCAAGTATTTTTCTTTTTCAAATTTTATTTTCATTTTTCCAAATAATGGAGGAAAAATAAACATAAAATAACCCATAGAATTCCCAGTGTGGAATAAGAGGCATCATAAATTTGCAACAATCAATGGTAAATCAGAAGCTTTAGTTTATTTGTTTATTCTGACCTCATTTTCTATGAAAAAAGAATTTATTGATGGGAAGTATTACAAGAAAGCACAAAGAAGAACCCAGGCTTGAACTCAAGTGCCCCTCCCAATTGGATACCCCTCAAAAGAAACCATTTGTTAACAACCAGAAAGAAGCCATCGTAAGAATAATTCTCTCCCAAAGAAGTTGCGTAAGGAATTGCTCATTGAACACTAGCACCCCATTTTAACCAAATACACTACAGATCCGCAAAGATTAAAAAATATATTCCAAATATGCCAAGCCATTTCACAATGGAAGTATAAAAGATTATGTGTTTCTGAACTTCTGAAAAATACAACAACAACAACAACAAGCCTTTATCCCACTAAGTAGTGGGGTCGGCTACATGGATTGCAAGACGCCATTGTGCTCTATCATTTATCAAGCTTTTAGAAATATTATTAATTAAGAAATCACGTTCAACAACTTCCAAGAGTGTTCTCTTAGGCCTTCCTCTACCTCTCTTAATCGGACTCAAAGTTATATGTTCACTCTTCTCACTGGTGCCTCCCTTGGTCTTCTTTGTACATGCCCAAACCATCTCAACCGATTTTCTACCATTGTTTCCTCAATAAGTGCCACCCTCACTTTTTCACGTATGTGCTCATTTCGAATTTTATCTTTACGTGTATGTCCGCACATCCATCGTAACATTCTCATCTCTGCTACTCCAACTTTATGCTCTTGCTGTCTCGTTAGAGCCCAGCATTCACTACTATATAACATTGCCGGTCTGATAGCAGTACGATAAAACTTTCCTTTAAGTTTATTAGGCACCTTACAGTCACAAATAACTCCTTTAGCTTTTCTCCAATTAAACCACCCAGCTTGAATTCTATGTGAAATATCTCCACTGATTTCGCCATCATTTTGAATAATGGCTCCCAAATATCTAAACTTTTTCACTTGAGGTATAATTTGATCTCCCAATTTCACTTCCAAATTATTTTCGAATAGTCCTTTACCAAATTTACAATATAAACATTCCGTCTTACTTCTACTCAGACAAAAACCTTTCGACTCCAATGTCCTCCTCCATAACTCAAGTTTGCAATTAACCTCTTCTCTTGTCTCTGCTATAAGAACTATATCATCCGCGAAGAGCATACATTTCAGGATTTCCTCTTGAATATGTTCCGTCAAAACATTTAAAATCAAGTTGAACAAATAAGGACTCAGAGATGATCCCTGATGTAGTCCAATTTTTATAGGAAAATCCTTTGTTTGACCACTAGGCGTTCTTCTACTAGTTTTTATCCCCACATACATATCTTGTATGGCTTTAATATAAGCAATCCGTACTCCCTTTTTTTCCAACGCTTTCCAAAGCACTTCTCTTGGTATATGGTCATAAGCTTTTTCCAAATCAATAAAAACCATGTGTAGATCTTTATCTTTACAACGATACTTTTCCATTAATCCCCTTAATAGATAAATCGCCTCTGTAGTTGATCTACCTGGCATAAAACCAAATTAATTCTCAGAAATACTTGTCTCCAATCTCAACCTGTGCTCAATTACTTTCTCCCACAATTTCATTGTGTGGCTCATGAGTTTAATCCCTCTATAGTTAGTACACATAAATTCACATAAATTCAGTAATAAAGTTATTTATGGAGGACATTAGACATGGAAAGTCACATGGAGAAATTGGATTCAGGGTAGCAAATTAAGTTATGGACATTAGACAAAGAAAGCTGACTTTTAACCTATAAATCATGGATACACTAAAATGGACGCCGTGTCCGTGTAGGATACGTATCCGACACGAACACACGTCCTGGACACGGATGTGGCGTGTCCTTTTTTTTTTTTTGTGAAACAGGCGGACATAGGCTACTGCCGACGGACACAAGCAAGTCGTGAAATACAGCGTTTTGGGCGTTTTTTTCCCCTTAGCACAAATGCTCTACTTCATGAGACGTTGACTGATCCCTCTCACTCCCACGTCCCTCGCCTAACTCACATTGCTTTGCCTTTGACCCAATGATCTTGCATTGTTGCCCACTGCCGTCCTTCCTTCCTCCGCTATCAAGCTTGAGCAAGGTAATATTCTCCTCCATCGCTCCATCTCTTCGAGCCACTGTCGCTTTGTCACTCTCTATGTCCGCCTCTTTGGTCACTATTTCGGTGCCTTCCTTAGTCATTGCATTGGATTCTATCTCCCCTCCTCAGTCACGACTTAGCGAGGTAATACTCTCGAGCTTGGTTGTTGTTCTTTGTTATTATGTGGACAGAGCTGATTGGAGAGCTAATAAAAAAGAGTTTGGTTTCCCCTTTCATCCATTGACTTTAATTTTGCCCTCTATCATGATACTATTTCAAAAAAGTTTGGTTTTCTTATGTTGTACGCATTTTGTAGTTTTTGCTCCAATTTCCCTCTCTTCTATTTCTTGTTTGCTAGTACATTGGTTGATGGATACTGAATAGTCTTTGTAGTTACAATTATGGCAAAGCTTGAATTTAGATAATTTTTATTTGTTTGTTTTAAATTTTTGTTAGCTCTCCTCAGATTAAAGTATGCAGAAAATTGTTTATAATTTTTCATTCTTTATTAATTTAAGTTGATCATTATTTTTTGCCACTTGATAGTACTTAATTATTTAAGTATTTGTACATGTGTATCTAAATATTTAATATTTAATTATTTCTATAGCTGTACCCGTATCCTAAAATTTTTAAAAATTGCCGTATCCATGTATCATGCCGTATCATATCCAATACCCATACCCGTATCAATGTTTCATAGCTTTTAACATAAACTTTCCAAAAATCCAGCTTAAAGTCAATCCCTTTCACTTTCCATGTCTAATGTCCTCCACATCTTCATTTGCTACCAGCACTCCAACAGCATCCAAGATTTGCCTTCTTGCCACAAAAGCACTTTGCTTTACAGAGATATTACCTCTAAGAACCTACCCTAATCTCAAAAAAAGACCTTAGTAATGTCTGTAAAACACTCAATCCCAGGTTTATAGGTCCAAATCCATGCACCTTAATAGGTCAATCCTCCTTATTGACAAGAGTGATGAAAGTAGAATTTATTCCAGTAGTCAACCTTCCACTATAGAAATTAGAAACTCAATAAAAACCTTCATCAGGACATCCATCCTTCATAAAAACCAACAAGCCCGGAAGAAGGCCATATTGAATCTTTCTGGACTAGGAGACTTACCTTATGTTATGAGAAATAAAAAGGAGTATTATTCATTCATTAGACACCTTATACAATACCATATCTCCCTATTTATGAGAGTCATGTAACTAATCTCAGCTTCCCAACTAACTCTTAATCCCACATGACGCCTTATCAATCTTCCAAATCCCACTCCTAACCTCCTCCTCATAAGATCTCTTTCCAAGCAACTGTAAAACCCACTATAGAAGGCCAACATAACCCTCAAGAAAAGGCCTCTCTCTGACCTCTTTAGTATAAGGCTCTTCATAAAATCAAGAGATTCCATGCTTATTGAGACATTATGCCTAACAATTCCCGCTCTATCTGTCTCATACTTCTCCAAACTTCTTCCTCCTCAAAAAGGCCTCCCTAGCCAAGCAATTGTAGAGACTATAGTAGATGACCAATCTAACCCCACAAGCATAAACCTCTTTAAAATCAAGTGACTTCCACTGCTGTTGAGACTTTACCCCTAAAAATTCTCACTCCATCTACCTCATACTTCTGCCACTGTCATTGAAACCTTGTTTATACCTTGAAGGAAGTCCCTCCTTTCAATCCTAGTGTCTCCCCTCCCTATCCCAAATTCTAAATTTCTACTTCACAAACTTCAGCTTCTTTAAAAACTTATACCCTCAGACTGGTGAATGACAAGCCCAGAGATACAATGATTATAGCCAATAACTTTGCCAGGTATTCTTAACATCCACAAAAGCATAATTGCAAGAACTACATCCCTAAGCTAAAGAATGATAAATGCAGCCACTGTGGCAAAGAATAATTGATTTTGGAGTTATCAGCCTTATCTGTAAGGCAACCCATGGGAACTTTAAGTAATAATGATCTCAATGTCATCCTCTTCATCTTCTCATAAGGAGGCAAGTGATAAGTGATAACTGATAAGTGATAAGAGGACCACTCTTTAGTACGATAGATTCCAGTGAATGAGTAGAAAATCAAATTCTCAATCGGAAATAGTAGAGCCCAGAGACAGGGAAAGGCATACAACTGAGCAATTGAACCAACATTGGAACTTACTAGTGAAAATACGATTCACAGCACTGAAACTAACCAGGAAACTAACCAGGAAGATATGCTACTCCACTGATACATTAATCCATAGCAGGGTATACATCAGAAACATGACATAGAGTTGCCCACCTTTTATTACATGTCAATTGCAGTTCAAGATTATTTAACTCTCTTGAAATATTATTTTGATCAAAGGGAAGCGTGCAAATTGATTGGCTAAATCAGCTCATGTAAACTTTTGGTCGTTCATAAACCTCCTATTGAATGTCAGGTTTACGCATCCTATTGAATCCTAAAGCACCATAAGAAACTTCAACACTGTTCATCCACCCAAAAACCTAGTATTAGTCTACAACGGCATTAGCCACCAACACAGGAAAGAGCGAGAAGTAAATCTTAACAAATAAAAACCTTGTAACAGAATTCAAATGTCCGAGAAGACTCCGAAGTTTTGAACCATAAAAATGAATACAACTGTACAGGGCAAAAAAAAGAAAGAAAGAAAGGAATGGCAAAGCATAAATTGACAGCAAATACTTCTTTCTATCTTGATAAAAAAGATTGAACTTAAAAACCTAAAACAGAAAGGCATACCATGTGAGGGTATTTGTCTTGGTCAACGACGCGAGTGTTCTCGAGCTTGATGTTAAGGTATTGGTCCACTGAGTGCAATGTTCCTCTAATAGCCAAATCGTTCTTGAGCTCCACCGTTACTTCTCTGCCCACCAAGTCCTTGAAATAGGAGAAGAACAACTAGACCAAAGCAACGCCTATCACAATCAGAAAGGATGAAGGAATCCCAGAAAAATACAGCACGGAGAAAATTTTAGGGAGGGGGAAAGGGGAAAACCTAGTTAATCTAAAAATTCAGGGTGAAAATTACCATTTTTCAAGAGCTGTAAAACGACGCAGAACAGGGGAACGCGAAGAGGAGAGGTTGAGTTGTTTCTCCACGGATTGAGGGCAAGGCGCTACTTATGACTAGCGATCGTGACTTGACTCCACTGTACGTCTCTAGTCTCTACGGCATACAGCCCTGCATAGTGCATACCTATTCGTAATTTGTTGTCGACTAGATTGCCCTCGAAGTCATATTATTCGGGTATTCGCAATTCTCAATGCCAGCGAAGGGACGATATTTTTTTTTCCCTTTTAATGAAAACTAAAATGCATTACTAAACAACAAAATACAAGCAACGACAAAAAAAAAAAAAAACCAAGGGCAAGACAAATTGATCCATTTTTATCATCTTCACTCGTAAATTCAGATACGAATGATGATTAAGGAGGCAAAAGTTAATATTTAAAGAGTAAAATAAATTTGTTTGGAAATCAACAATTCCATTACAACCTTTGTGCATGCGATTAAATTCAATTTGATTCTTCATGAAGAGGGACCTACTTTGAGCAACAATATCCTTTATAGATATAAAAGAGTGAATTTAAGAATGTAAGAATGACAAATAATTTTTTTAAAATAAAAATAATAATAATTTGATATCACAGAAAGGTTTTAAGGAATTTTTTTATATTAAATTTTTAGATAAAATTATTTTAGCATCCATTTGTAACTAATTTTTTTTTCAAACAAGGAAAGGCAAAACACAAATAAAACAACGCAACAAACTAAAAGCTAAGGAGGTCTAAGATACTCCAAAAAACTGGGCACACCCAATGCAAGATGGTAAATTCCAAGACAGTGGTCCGATTTGAGGGAAAAAAAAAAAAAGGAAGGTTGATGACCTTAGCATTATGGAACTTCCACGAGTGCTTGTCGTTGACCAACACTCAATCCAACCTACTCTGACGATTCTTCCTGCGCCGAGTATAGAAAGGACCCAAACAGCCAAAGTTAGTCAAATTAAACTCATTAACCCAATTTCTAAAATCACTGTCTATGGAGTTGCTAGAACTATGAGAAGACTAGTACTCATGAGCATAAAAGGTACTGTGGACAATGGCGGACCCACGTACATTTGCCACACACCCTCACATGGAGAAAATTGTATATATAGTATGAAAAATTTACAACCTTACACCCTATATTTTTAACTTTTTAAACTCTCCAAACTCAATAAAAAATATTTGGGAATTTAAATTTAAACTCCATATCAACCTTCTCAACATATTTTTGATAAAAAAATCTTAATATATTTTGCTCAAGTAAAAATATGAATAATTTTACTTATAGTATTATATTTTTACCTAATGTAATTAATTTTAAAAATTAAAATATTATTTTTTTTAATTATTTATTTTTAATTTGTATTGTTCTGCATCTCTGACTCAAGGACTTAGCTCCGCCGTTGACTGTGGAACAACCCCACCTCCCCCAACAAAAAGAAATGCAGCAAGGGCCATTAATGGAAAGGCCAAGTCTTTTCAGCTCTTGCTAAACCACTCAACGATTAGCAAGTAGCCAGCTTGCATGAATAGCGGGAATGAAGTAACTCTCTATACCCAAGACAAGTCAGAGATGTATGAACTGATGATGATTCTCAATGACTTCAAGATTCCAAGCTTCCTTGTTCCAAAGCACCCACAACCCTCCCACTGAACCCCCTTGCGTCAACCACATGAAACTTATTAAAACCCATCGATATAGCCAATGTGATAGCTTTTGGTCCATTGACACGTGTTTTTAAGATAGCAACAAAATTCAGCTCATGCTTTTTGGTGAGTTCTCGGAGAAGATTAGGTAAGGATCGAACCATAGTGCCTCTCGTGTTCCGGAAGAGCAAATTCATTAACACAATGTTGGGAATTGGTGGGTTATAAGGCCCTTAACCTTCTCGTTCCCTATCCTTCTACACATCTTGGTTTGCTACCGAGTCATCAAGGCCCATTGTCATATTTTGGTCTTCCAACAATAAATGACAATTTTACATATTAATTTTTTATTTATTATTATATTGTTGTGAGTATAAAAAAAATATAAACATTTAAATAAAACTTGTAAATCATCTATTTTCAATAAAAAATAATTTAATAATTTATATAAATTTATTAATGACAAAAAATTTTTTAAAAATTTTGAAGAAATTATGACATTTTAAAAGATTAAATTATTATTTATACATTTCAAAAAGATTTTATCATCATTTTTTCTAAATTATTCTCATTTAATTATTAAACATGTCAAGTAATTAATATACTTTACACATTAGATTAACTTAAAAGTTATTTTGTATTTTAAAACTTAAAGAATTAGCATAACAATTTTAAAAAAATGTGAGTAATTAAATTAATAAAAATTAAATTTAAGAGACTAAATTCAATAATGAGTTTAATTTAAGAAACTAAAAATTTCTTTACCCCAGTTGTACAAATGAAGACCACAGGTTTTTTCCATCCCTTTCCCAAAAATACGAAAAAATGGAGGAAGCAAGTGTTCAGGAATTTGCCAGTGGATCATAGCAATTAGGTTTGAAAATTGAAAGTTTGACACCCATTCATGAGAGAAAATTGCAAAAAATAATTTTTTTTAAAAAAAATCATTTTGAGCAACTTTTCCTCCTAATTTTCTTTCCCGTTTATTTTCTTCTCACTTTTATCTACATCTAAACCAAACATTAGCAAAAATGTCACCATGTAATCAGTCAGCAATCAATTTAATCTATATTCTTTCTCCAGCATCCATGTGCACGTGTCCGTAATTCCGCATACTTCTTGTTAACCAACGTCTCATAAAATTTAAAAAAGTGCTTTATAAGATATTTTTTAAAAAGACAAGCAAGAAAAACTTGGTTGAACAAACATTGACGACCCAGAGGAAAAGACACAAAGATATAACAGTAATCTAATAACAGAGTTGGCCCCAATAAAAGAAAATAATAACAGACAAATGTTAAGAGTAGAAAGAAAACTACATATTACAAATGAAACATGCCAACCGAAGCACCAAAACAAGCTACATTTACATCTAGACATTAAAAAGCAAAGGGGAAAAAAATAGACCCAGAAAAAAAAATTAAAAATTGCCCCTAATCCTATTATCATATCTCTCTCTCGTTCTCTCTCTTTTATAGGAGGAGAGGGTATACAGATATATATTTAGTGTTCACAGCCCTACTATAGTCTTTGCTTCACCCGTCGACCATTTATGTCACTGCCATCAAGAATTCCTCCACTCCTATGCTTGCACATGAAGTCTGAATGCTCAGTAAATCTAGCCACGTACTCCAATAGCTCGGTCAGAACAGATGGGCAACTTTCCTTCAAGTACTCAAAGCCGTCAGTTTGCATCACAGCTGCGAAACAACAAATGAATATGCTTTAGTTCATTAATCATTAATATGAGGAATGAAGTCACATGAACATATTACTGCAACAATAAACTTGGACTATATCAATCTTATAAACAAAAATCATTGTTGTAATGAATTTAGCAACCAAAACTCCTTTGTGGTTAAGGTGTGAATCGCGTTTATTGTCCAAATGACTGTCGCTGCCGAGGCTATATACAGTTGCGGCCAGATAGGCTACCAAATCAACTCGTGAGTCATGAAGATCACTCAATTATCCTCTCTTGTACCTCCTTAAATAAAACCTTCAAATGTCAAGATTCACATCCCCTGCCACTTCTCTTCGGAGTTAGCAAAATATAAATATTCAGGGGAATTAAAAAGCACCTCTGAGATTTTCAGGCATTGCAATGAATTTGAGACAGACTGCTTTCAGCTGGAAACAATGGTGATGCTCTGCCAAAGCTAGAGTTGTAGCCACAGTGTTTATTGCAACATCTTCACACAGGCTAGCTTCACACATCAGCCTAAGCCTCTCTAAACCATACCGATCAGCGGCTGCAAGCAGATGCTGAGACATCAATGTAGTTGCCCATTTTGAGTTCATGCCAGTAAGCTCTTGCAGGTCAGGCAGCGAGTCCCAGTATATGAAATGAAGTAATGCCTACAAAGGAGTAACATGATAGGATGCAACAGACTAGTTATTTCCACAAAAACTTTCTCCAATTAAATTGCCAAAGCTGATAAATGGCAGTCTTCATTATACAAAAAACTCATGTCATAATTGTACAGATACTGCATCTCTAAGAAAGCATCACTGAAAAACCAAAAACAAAAAACAATGCAAAGCAAAGCAAAACAGTCAAAAACTTGAGCTTGAAAGGGTGCATATCTGCTATGCAATAAAAAATTCAATTCAAAATGTTCACATAAATTCCCTTAATGCATTAAAAATAGCACAAATAGAATGCTTCGTTCTCAGACAAAAATATTAGAATGAAACGCCACTGAAAAACAAAAACGCTCACTTGTTATTTGTTTTCTTTGCATATTTAAGCTGGTCAGTACTGACTAATTCGCCCGAAACATCCTATCATATTTATAGACCTCAACTTAAAAAACAAATTGGCATCACTAAGCACCTAGGAAATGGAATTAATTAACTTCCATGAATTCATAACACCAAATCAAATAACTTCTTCCCATGATTAAAGAGCCTGATGATAAATAAGAGGTGCTCTTACAGAACCTCACTTCATGCTTTCTGCTGATAAAGCAAATAAAATGGCCTTACCGAGCATTATAAGTCTTTAATCGTATTGTGCAAACAATTAATCAGCCAGCCGCTACTTTTCTCCAATAAGACCCTCATATAGTTTAATTTCCTCCCATTAAATACAGTATCATACGGCTACAAAGATGGGTCAGCTAGAAAAACTTATCGAAATAGAACCAATGCACTAAGTAACTAAGCATTAGAATCCTATATCTATGCTCAACTAGCATCATATTCATAACTGATCAAAGTAATATTTTTCTAATCATTTTGTTAAAGAGGCTCGTATGCTCTTGGTGGGTCTGCAATGCAATCTTATAAAATACAACACAATATTGTTTAGTATGAATAAAGGATGTGCCAAAAGTGAAGAAAATAAATGGAAACAGAACTTTGAGCATCAAAATGTCACCCCAAGTGTTCATTATTTTCTGAAGAAAAGTATGTTAATATGAAATCTGTGTTCATTTTTCAAAAGATAAAAGCTCATCAAAGAAAAACGTTCATCAAGAAAAATACAAGCACATCTCCACAAGAATAATAAATAA